TCAAAAGCTTATGGAGACCCCCCTTAAACTAGAGAGGACTTTAGATTGTTGCTAGCTGTGAATTATAGACTGTATGTTCAGAGTTGTTTGAAGTAATCCTTTTCTCTTCAAATGTTGCTAATAAACACTCACTTTAAGATCTTTTAACACCTCCAAATCTACATGCAATTGTCACTTATCACAAGCGTTTGCTAACTTCAAACAGTCCTCACGATATGTAGCTAAGCCTCTTATAATTTTAACAAGATAGCATAAATAGGGCCTGGATTTTGTAGGGAATTGAAAATCTGAATATTTGATTATTGTATAATTCAAGTTCAAGACTTTGTGGTAATTCAGTTAACATGATTATTACTCTCACCTGTACAATCAGCCTCAACACATTTACTGGACAGAAAAAAGTACTTTACTGCAAATAAGATTTCCAGTCTGTAATTATTGTTTAAACATTATGTCCTTTGACATTTCATTTATTGAGTATATTATTTCCACTGATTGTGTTACATTTTAGGAGAATTGTGTTTAATGAACTGAAAATGTATTATAAATAATTTGAAAAGCACTGTTTTACGGATTGTAATAGGACTTGGGGGAATAAAGAGATCGTTTTTGAATGTGAAATATTACCATACCAAGCAGAGTGTCGATACTATTTTTATATTCACCATTAATGGAAGCCAAGTCTAACCCATAAGCTGTGTTTTGTAGTTGGATGGAACCTTTTAAATAAATGATGCAGAGTGTACATAATTGAAATGCATCATAAAGAAATGTAAAATTCTAAAATGGCTATGTTGGTGCTTGCTTGTCTCCATGATAATTATCAATGCTGGAGTATGGATAATGCACACAGCTCAGGCAAATGATGTTTTGTATCAATAATGCTTCCAATTGCATTTTGTTGTGAATTTTTAATTTATTTTGACAGTCTAAATGTAGCAAGGCTATTGACAAACAGTCTTGGTTTCAAGGCATGATATGATACACTATAAAACACAACTAAATTCTTGGATGCAAATTTTTGTTCAAGGTCTCATTTAATGAACAGTATTAATTATGGTAGTGTGATTGACTGCTAGCTAATTACATTTACAGGTAACTGTCAATCATATACTGTAATCAGTAATTGAAAACAATGAGCTAATGCATCATCAATTAAGTATGGGTCTACTCTCTGCATGATTTATAAATCAATATTGATGTATTTAATTTTAAATCAATTGAAATGTATAAAAATATAAACTTCTGATAAAGTGAAAGCCTGAGGGCAGTTATAATCCGACAACAAGCTCTCTCTGACACAAATTTTATAAATAAATAAAGTTTTTTTGTAAAGATATTGTTAGAGTAGATAGTATGTTGTTTTTGTTAGAAAAGCTTAATTAAAGGGTCCATGATGCTAATGGGTCATTACCAGACAATTTATACCCCCTTTGGTTTTTAACACTAGAACATTGGCTAAAGACCTCTGTGATCTCTATCAAGGGGTTTTTAAATTTGTCCTCAACAAAGACAGAAATCAAATTTATAGATACCAATCATAGAGGAATAAAGAATTCATTTAGGAGATTTGTAAAGCTGCTGTGTTAGTTGCCAGGCATGCAGAGCCGGGTGACAGGTTTGATTTATTGGATCACCTTGCCAGGTTTCTTCTACCTGGAAATCAGAGACTTGTGTGCCCAGAATCCCCGATTTACATGTTTGATTACACCTCAGTGGATAGCAGGATGGGGACATTTAAATGAAACACTGGGGGTGCCTATTTGGCTTTTGAAAGTGGGCTATTGGAGCTGATTGACAAGGGAAGGGAGATGCCCAGGGTGCTGTAGAGATTGAAAGAAGAACTGTTGAATTGCCATAAAGACACAATGAGCATATCCATCATAAGGTTCCCTCTGATTGGACAAGCAAAAAATGAACAGTTTTAATGCTTTTATTATCCCATTAATTTTCCTGCCAGATTTGACACATACTGAAGACTGCTCTGTTTGTACATATCCTGTGAAAACATCCCAAATATGCAACAAATTTCCATATTTTTTCAGATATTAATTATAATTCAATGCTATGATAGAAGTTTTGCATAATTTGCTATTAGAGTGGTCTTTAGCACTGAATGCAGGCAGATCACAGGGGCTTGTCAAGAAATATTCTTAAAGTATTGTCAACCCTGCAATTGTATTTTCATAGTATGGGTAACTATATATTTAAGAAAGGCAAATATATCTTGACCAGCCCTGTGGGAAAACTGAGTCAACCCAGCTTTGTAACCTCGAGCTGATAGAGAGCTGATGAGGGTGAAAAACATTCCTCTTTATAGATAACCAGAATTTGTGTGATTTGTCTTGTAATTGAAAATTTTGTAGCCCTTGTCTTTTAGCAGCTTTTATTTTCATTTTGTATTTTTACATTGATTGTTTGTTTGACAATTTTTCACTCATATTGAGATGCCACTGGACTGCAAATTTAGACCTGTACTCGGTGGTTACTGCCTTTAAGCAGTAAGAGATCTTTTTCATGCCAGCACAGGACTTTGGATTATATGGTCTCATCCTAAGGACCAGCTTCCGCGTCACACATTGGATTCGCACCTGTGTTGTAAGGATCAACTCCTTACTCCGCATCTCTAGAGCAAACCTCTAACCACTGTGCCACTCGGTCGACTATTTTTATATTGATATTGACAGAACATGAAATTTCAAGGCATTCAGCATCCTGTTTATTTTAAATAAATTCTGATACACATGTATATAAACTTAAGCTTCATATGGATTCATTGGACAAGATATTCATTTTACAAGATATGTTAGTATACATTTTTAAGTTATAAAAAATGCATAAACTAATTTTGTAATGCTGCTGCACCAGAGTGTGAATTATGGGACATTTTCATACAAAACCCGAGAAGATGTAATGAATTTATATGTTATGGTAATGAAATTTTTTATTACATGTTGATAATATTAACTTCACCCCTTCATCTGATGTGTTTCAATTCTGCTGCACTAAATTGAAGCAAGAGAGCTGATCTGGTGAAATAAAATATAGATTGCAGCCTGTTTAATGATGCAAGCAGAGAGAAACATTTATATGAAGTTCCATTATTTGATTGTGTTGCACTGTGTTACATAACATTCTGATTTTATCAGCAGAGATTAAAGCTTTTTCATAGCACTAGTTCTGATTATACTTTTTTCCCATTAGGGTACAATAAAAAAGGGAGGCAATGATATCAGTACACTGACACCAAGAGAATTATCTCCCCCTCTTTTTCTCCTACAATTTCTTCATGTCCAGTAAACATCAAGAAGGAGATACTGGTGTTTTAAGTTACTTCATATTAATTAATGAGCTCTCCTACATAGCCTTAATGATAACTAAACAATATTCTAAAGGATTTATCAATTGATTTTCCTAATCAACCCAGTGTAAACTGCCTGAGTTATCTGTGACCACTGCCTACTTTGTTTGATTATCATTTTACAAGGTGTGTTTTTGTAGTTTGTTTAGTCGCTGAATTCCAGAGCAAATAGAGATGAAAAGATTTTGTATTGGTTCTACAACTGATTACTAATAAAAAGACACATTCGATATGCTGATAATTACAGGCCAAATGTGTTCTCATTAAACAATTATAGATTCAGTGTATCTGTATGCTTCACATCATCCAAGTTACTACCAAGGTAGAAGGTTAGCTATTGAGTACAGCACTTAGCTTTTTTGGTGGTTAAGTGGTCATGGAATTATTCAGTAGGAGTATCTTATCACTGTCTGAAGCAATTTTGACTCTGAGATCTGACAAGGAGACAAGAACTTGGTATATCTCCCCCATCACTCAGAGGAGAGGGATTGGGCAGAGGCACTTTAACTTTTGGCATCTACATGTACATTTGATTGGTTGATAACATCCAGATAGAACAGAAATAAGTGTCAGACTGGATTCTGATTGGCTGAAAATCAGATATGGTGTTTTTCAGGTGTTTAATATTGCAGGTTGTCAGTAAATATGCAGATAATCTCCCTCATTTTGTCAATGATGGTATGGTCATCTTCATAAAAGCATCACTTTCTAAGTGGTCTGAACACTGGCACATGATGTGTAATTAATGTTTTTGACACAGTTTAGCACACTTCAAGGAATCTTTCAATAGTCAAATTTGACTCAACCATAAATTACATTTTTCCCCATTTTTCACATAATTATTTTCTTCTGTTAAACTTGTAAAAATATATTGTTTTTAATTCTTAAGTGCAGCAGAAATAAATGTGTTGTTAATTACTATTCTATTGTAATGAACAAAAGTAATCAAGTCATGTCGTGGATGTAAAGTAATCAAATGTCATTTAAATTTTAAGATATGCTGCACAGTATAATACATTATGCACTTTAAGGGGTGCACTTTGTTGTTGAATTAAGATAAGATTTCTGAATAATATCAACAAAGGAAAAAAGAGATCACTGCATGTATCATTCATATCTGTGACTTCATAAACATGCATTGGCCTAGAATAAACATCATTCATAAGTAAAGCACTTTAAAGTAAATATTTACATTCATCTCCCCTGTTGTGATGATATATTCAGAATCAGTAAACCATATGAAAAACTAATAACTTCAGTGGCCTTTATGGAATAAGTCATGTCTGTGTACAGCCTGTCTTTACTACCTCAGGGATAAGACACCACAAAATATGTAAATTGTATAGATTGTCATGTAAACAAGCATTCTGGTACAGATTTTTCTGCGTAAAGTTAACATTTAGCAGAAAATGAGTCAGGAAAAATCTGTATGAAGTGATTAACATAGCATTTATTACACACCTTATGGGTATAAAGTTTGAAAAATGAATCTGAAGTATTGATGATTAAAAAATCAGTTTTGGGGAATAACATTTTGTACTATGTGGTACAGTCTGTCTGATCAGGCAACTTTTTAAGTGAATATAAGATATTGAAAATCTTTATAATTTTTTTCAGAATTGTATTTTTTCATTGACAGGACAATGCCAGAAGGCCCTGGGTATGGAGAGTGGGGAGATACCGGATCATGCCATCACAGCCAGCTCCTCCTTCAAGGAGAGCTCTGTAGGACCAGAGAGTGCCAGGTAAGTTATTCAAATACATGTACTCTCCTCTCATAAGGGCCTATAGTCCATTCAAACAGTCTCATCTCATGAAAACCTCAGTCCATTCAAACACTCATCTTACAGGGAGCTTTTGTAGTAATTGAGAATCAGGTCAAACACTCTCATGAGGACCTACAGTCCATTCAAACACTCTCATCTCACATTTAGGAGCTTCACAATCTGTAAGAGTCAGTCAAACACTCTCATGAGGAGATATAGTAAGAATACTCTCATTTCATTAGGAGTTAAAGAATTAGGAACATTTTTACAAATTGCACATTTATATGTGCTCATAGCAGCTAATCCTCCCATTACTCAATATCTGCACTAGATGTACTGATCTATATACTTTGACTCGAGGGTATACTAGTGTGCTCAGACTCATCTCGTCAGTATTGCTCCTTTGAGACTCTGATTGTATGATATATGTATCCTAATAATCAGTTTATTATTGTTGAGTAGTTGTAAAAACAACCACAGAGTACCTACGGGAACTGATGATCTACTGGATCATCTAGGAGAGCCATAAGAACTGTCAGAGGAACGACACATAACATATCTGTCTTCCTGATTATCTACCATTTTCTATTTAATTGTAATGTTGTGTTGCATCTGCAGTTTTCACTTTGCTGCAGTATGTTGCTTTAAAAATCATCAGTTTTTATGATAAACTTCTCGATTTTTGAAAGCTGGTGGGAATTAGAGAATATAAACAATGATAGATTGTGGCATTTCATTGTATTTCCCATTAGACTCTTTCCTTTTCAGAGATAATCTCCAATGTTTCCGATAAATGATGGAATCGTTTATTACAGAGTGATATTTCGGAACTCTCTTAGACACATACAATACATTGTGTCAGGAAATGTTTGCAGCAGCATCTCAGTTGTCATCTTGTTTATAACACCAAGGTCTCCAAGCTGCTGCTGCTATTGATTGGGTGGTTTAGAACTTGTAGGAGATATTTTATACATATAAGTTGCATTTCAAAACCCTGCACAAAGGAAAAAAAAATGAAGACAAAAGAATTTAAGAAACATGACATAAAATTCTCATTTTTCAGATAATTGGTTTGATTTTTGGTTTGCACTTTCTAATAATTGAATGTCATGTTCTTAGGCAGTTTTATTAAAATATAGGTCATGCATATGGTTGCTTTCATTAGACTAGTTAGTAACTGTCTTCAAAGAAAAAATATTCTACACTCCATCAAAAGATTTCCCCCTTGGTAATTTTATGCTTGCAGAACAGGTTGATAATGATGGAATAGAAATCAAATGTAACTCGCAGAATGCCAGGATGTAACATGTAATATGTCAACTCTGAAGCCAACTAAATTCTGATAATGGCTAGGTGATGTATGGATGGCTGAATGCTTTAGTTGTTTCTTGACTGCAATAATGCAGTGATGGCCTTTGAAGCCTTGCACCTGAAATATTTCCCCAATTGATTTTTCCTGTAGTTTCTGAGTTTTTCCATTACAGGAAACAATTATTTCCACGGGAAAAAAATCAGTGTTCCATGACACACAGAATTGAATGATGAAACTATATTGCGAAAAAAGTGCTAATTGTTTAGATGGCTCTAAAGGAGAAGTGTGCCTTGACATGCAGGCTGGGAAATTGAATTATCTTCAGACTTGTCTCCCTCCAATCGTCTCCCTTCAACCAACCACCACAGCCTCTAGGGGGCACTGCCTTTTTACTCATAAAACAAAGACATTGCCTGAAATATTTTTTTATTGTCAACTGCAGATGGATCTGATGATTCACCCTTTTCTTTGCTCAGAATGAAGCAAATGTCTTAGGAGTAAGATTTTGAAGAAGAATAACAGGAGAACTCCACCCAGTAGAGATACATTTTGTATAGAAATGAGTCATGATAAACTTATGAATTACAACGTATTCGTCACCCCAAAAATATCAAATTGCATATTTTGAAAAGCATGCATCATCTGAATATTGTAAATTACCAGGCTAAATAATGTTTAATCATAGAAAGAAATCATATGAATTCTTACACTAGTATCCTATGCATGCATGAGAAAAAAATGATGCAGGACCTATTTGTGTCATAAACACGCAGAGAAAATTAACCATGGATTCAGCATCTGCTGCTTATGTTTTTGACTAATGAAGCCATCTCTTGCTTTCATTTGAGCATTCTCCACATTACTGTCACTTATTGTTTGATCACCGTGTATAATTTGCACATCTGTTTACAGGGAGACAGATTTAAAAGATGTGCTAAAAATGCTACACCAGGCAAACTGTGTTTTCACCCGATAAAGTTCTACACATTAGTAGATGGAAGCTGAATTTTTTTTTACCTGTTAGTATGAGAAGGAACTCCCTTTCATATATCTCCTGCTGGTTCTAACAGCTAGGAGTTGAATTGAAAATGGAGAAACTTTGTAGATGAAATAGATTCATATCAAGATCATTTTTCTAACTCAAAATCATGTAGAAAAAAAACCACAATCCAATAAATCAAAAGGATTCATGCAATTTGTGAAACTTTCTACCCCACTAATACATGAAATTGAATCATTAACAGCTATAGTGTTTTGTGCTACAGTCTTTTGATGTTAGTATTGTGTCACGGACATCAGACATGCAAAAGAAAAGTGGAACCTTGACTGCACAACCTGAGGTGGAAGGGGATTATCATTAGATTGTTTTGTTACATAATGGAGTCTCAATCCTCAGGAAACAACATTTTGATCAAAGAATCCAAAACAAGTCGTTGAAATACAAATTTTGGCATGGATGCATGCAATCTTCTTTATACAAATAAGAAAAAAAGAAACAGGATCCTCCAGTTGATGTTGTACAAGTCAATCTTTGATGGATTAGATCAGGGATAAAAATTTCTAGTAGAATCAAAAGCAAGCAAAACATTTATCTTACTATTTGTTCTACTGTTCCAAAGAAAAACAAAACTTAATGTATTTTGCAATGTACAACAATTCATTTTTTTATTTGCTGAATTAATATTGGTTTTATAATGACAAAAATCTTATGGCAATAAAGAAAATGAATCTTGATTAGCTCTGTTATAGAGATGATAAAACTTAATGAATACAAACTAATGTGTCTCCAAAACTGTATAAAAAATGAGGATTATGAATTAGCCATGATAATGAATGTCTGTAAAATACATATGTAGGAAATTAATTCTGGATGAGTTTAACATTGCAAGCATGATTAAATTACCCTGTTTCAAAAAATATCTTTTCTAGAAAAAAAACATCTCTATGTTAGCGCAGTGACGGCATTCGGTTATGTAAAATATATTGTATGATAACTCACAGACATCAAAGTGCTTTATGAGCATACAACAGTGATAAGGGTAGCATGTTTACGATCCTGCAGAGACTTGATGGATACGCTGGGAGACCTTTGGACCCTCAGTCAGTACATCACACTCCCCTTCTTATCCCCCATCTCCTCTCCCCATAGATCCTCCTTCCCTTTGTGTGAAGGGAGCTGAAAGAGAGGCTTCAAAGGAATCACTGTGATGACAGATTTATTAAGTTTGAAAAAAGTAAATGGGGCCTGGAAAAAGATTGCTTTGAGGAATGTGGGTGTCCTCATGCTTGGAATTATTTCCAGCCATTTTTGAAGTGAATGTCGGTAAAAATTTTGTTTCTTTTTGATTCTTTGTTCTGTATGTAGATTTTACAGAAAACTGGATAAATTTATGAGTAATTGCAATGTCTGCATGTATTCTCCCTTCAAACAATTACATCCCATGGATATATTGTTTAGTTACGTAAATGAAATCTCTTGGTTGTATAGAAATGGCACAGGGTTCATTATTGTTTTTATTAGTCCAGATCACTCAGTTCGTGAGAAATGGCAGTAAATTGTATTCCATATCCACACAAAAATTTGAATAATTAATGAAATTAGGCAAAATCCTGACTGGAACATCATTTGGTTGCCATGACATTAGGCAAAAGTAGCACTTAACAATTTGAGGTCTTGCAGACATTTATTGTGTAAATCAAGAAGGGACTCTACATTAATAACCATTTTACTTTTGTAAGGAACAGTTGAATTTATAGATAAAGAAAAAGTACAAATGTTTATAAAGCATGCTCATTATCAACAAAAAAGTCACAAAAACAAAGGGAAAAAATCAGATGCAGCTTTTGATCTGATGCAGTATTAGCAGGGGTTTATGGAGTAAATGAAATCAGCCGTGCATTAGTAATAATCTACAGCTAAATTCAGACAGGTAAAAATAATACATCTTTGTAATTAGAACTGCCTGAAACAGATTTACAGAAAAATATCATATTATAAAAGAAAATAAAAATGGTTTTGTCTAATGGAATTTTTGAGAAGGTTCTTTGCATGAAGGCAAATGGATGATCAGCTGCCTAGCAACACTGCTGTTTCCATTATGTAATCTCTAATGATCATTAAGAATTGAACAGCTTCTTTTAAAACTCATTATCTTATGAGGTCTTTGGGGGAGAATTCTATTCTGATGTAATTTTTAAGGTGATGTACACTCAATCTTCAGCCTTTGATATATTAAATTGCCAAACCTGTTGCTTTCCTCAATATGTAATAAAGTTTTGCAGATCATTGGGATGAATTGTCACCAGGATGTAATTTTGTTTAGAATTCCTATTCCCGATTTAATAAGTATAGAGAATAGAGCTTGTGTCAATATCCACACCAATAATGGACAAGATGACTGATAGATCAAGAGACTGTCAGCTTTAGTTCTGAATTGCTAGAGATGATAGAAAAAGAAAAATCAAATTATAGATCTTTGGGTTCAGGTCCTTGGTTTGGTAATTGAATTGGACATAGGAAATATAAGTAAAAGTTTTCCCAGTTGCAGCGTGAACGTGTTGAAGTCTTGAATGGCTGTCAGTGTAGGAAATGCAATAATGTTTCTGATGTTCTCCTTGTCACCAACTGATGTGAAGTTTGTCCACTCTGGCATTTTTTTTTCTTTCCAGATTTAAGTCTAGTGAGAATATCAGAAAGAAAGGGAAACACACAAATGGGATATTGATTTCTAATGCAGAACATAATTGATGTGTCTGATGAAAAAAAATGTGTCATGTATATCTTTCTTTATTGTAAACCACTTTTTAGTTGTGAGAACTTTATTTTTGTGTAATAATCTGAGACTGACTACTCTCGGGTATACTTTTATTGGTATAGATTATATAATATACGATTTGTTAAAATTTTGTCCAACTTATAAATACGAAATACATATTTGGCTAAGATAAGGTGTCACAAAAATTTGGTGATCTGCAGTATCCCATTCCAGTTGAAAATGTATAAACCAGCCCCTAAATGTGTGCACTTATTAGAAGAAATTTATGGGCAGAGAAATTCAAGATGGGCAAAAAATGAAGGGTCACTAAGAGCAGATAGTGCTCCAGGTGTTTACTGTAGCAGATAGAGAAAAAACTCAGAAAGAGGTTGCTGATGTTGGTTGATCAAAGGTTGTCATGGGTTCATCAGATGGTAATCGGAACTGTAGATTTTTGACATGTCTTAGGATTGCCTTGATCCTCCTAAAGCTGGCTCATGCTTGTCATCAGACGAGTCTTCCAGAGATTGGGGATTAGAAAAATGTACAGAATTGTATAGGTCCTTGTCTGGCCATCATCTGTCTTCTAATGCTGATTCAAGGCTTTATCAATCATTTGTACTTTGAAGATGGTTAACTTTTGTGTTTTCACTCAGTATAAGTCAGTTTGTTTTTATTTGAAATGATTGCAGGTGGTAAAGAGACTCGGAATATCCCTGTTTATTATCTATTACTCCTAGGAGGCCTGTACTTTGTACAGAAGTGGGTTTTTGAAAATGAATGAAAGTGATTGTCTGTCAAATTAAGGTACAATAGATAAAATCCAATTCACAAGAAATGTGGTGGCAGAGGTTTGTAGTTCAAAACTGTCAATGATAATTGAAGGGTTCCATTTTACTTAGTAAGTGTAAAGAGCAGGTGCTTTGTCAGGAAGATGGGATTTCAGTCCCATCATTCTTTCATTTGGCTTCAAAACATTCTGAATTAAGTAAGAATTAAAGAGACAGCTTCAAAGAGATTTCTAATTTAAGAATCCCTACAGCAGAAAAACCCATTATGTCTGGAGCCCTTGATGTACAGAATACATGAAGAAACCTAGATAATCCCCTCCTTGGAAGTCTTCACCAGTGACCAATGTCCAATTTGACAGAAAAACTGTGAAAACTCTCAGTCATCTTTGATATTCCAGATGTAATTATATCCCTGAAGCATATGCAGATTATACTGTAATTAAAATGAGACTTGATGGAGCAGCCAGGGTACAGACTGTGACCTGAGCTGACCTTGGATGAGGGTCCTGTGGCTTATGATAGCTTTGGCTTCACTTTATGACATCTACAGCTGCTTCATGATCTGCCATCCTTGACGATGCCACAGCTTCGGGCACATCCTTTAATTTCTCTGTGTTACATTTTATGGTCTCCTTTTTGCATCTTTATGAGATTTGAGCTTTTATTGATACTATGTATGTTTCGTATTAATGCACATTAAAGTATGCAATAAAAGAGGAATTGATTTTCTGAATGATTATCTTTTTCTCTATGAAAAAAATTCTGCTGTCAGCAAAGTATTTACTGGATATTTGATCATAACGGTTTTGGATGAACACAGACTACTTTGAGTGTTTGTTTTGCTAATACCCTGTAGATCCAAATGGTTTATTTATGTGCTGTGGACCAATGCTGGCAGTCAATTCAGAATCTGTTTTCATGGAAACACAATAGATACACATCTAATGGTTTTGTCTCTTTATGTCACCCTTAGCTGAACTTCCAATCAGGTAGATAATGAAAATCGATCACCATGTTTTCAGAAAAGCTTTATTAAGTTCTGGGGAACATGATTATCTCCCTTGTGTATATTAAAAAAAAAGGCAAGAAGGTGTGATATTTTGATCCAGCAATAACAATGGTGTCAGGAGTTTGAATCAACCAGAGCTTTTTTCCACACTTTACTTGTCACCCATGGCAGCATCAGTTGATATATCATCATCAATAACACCTCTCCTGGTACTTTCAGTATATACATTGATCCCAGAGGTTCCCTGCAGTCCCCCAAGTACAGTTCAGCATCAGTCTGGCTGTCGCCAGAAGCTGTTAGCTGGAGTGCTATAGTGATTTGTAAGTGTACAGGGGGACTGAATGATAGATGATGGTAATTACCGGTAAATATAGTTGTGTGCTCCCCTTGGACAGACCTTCACAATCCAATACATCCCCTAATGGATGGGTCTGGAATTGTGGGTAAATATAGCCAGGGTCATCTTCTTCCTGAAAATTCAACACCCAGCAACCCTCTGACAGAGGGTGGCCTGATTACTTGATAAAATGTATGTGCTATAACCATACAGTCCATTAACCACAGGATCAGGGAATGTGAGACTTATTAGAAAGTCAGCTACATTTAATTTCCTCATGAAGGTTTATTCAGGTCTGAAATGAAATGCTGCACGAATTGCTTGAAGACTCAAACATTCTTAGTTTCCTGTTCATGTACTAATTGAATTGGACTGGATAATATCATATTATCCAGCTCTCATCAGTGAAAACCTTTAGTTTTTGTGTAGAATTGAAAGTTTATAATGTAGGTATATTTATGAGGGCCATTTGGTATATGGAGACAGATTATGGGTTGTTGGGTTTCAGAAAGAAGTGTGTGATTTGATAAACAGAGTCAGAGCCAGATGGCTGCCCAATGTCTTGATGAACATTAATTCAAGATATTAAGGAAAATTAAGGCTAAATTTTATCAATTTTCTGCCTCACTATTTTATTCTTTTTTAATTCCAGTGGATGGAGTAGAGGGAAGGCTGGGATTCTCTCTTTACACCAATGAAGTCATCACTGAGTCTTATGTCATTATTTTTACCAATCAACCAAAATCTCCTTTCTTCTGGCACATGGCAACATTTCTTGTTTACTTTCCAATAAATTTAGATTTATAACACTTTTGGAATTAGTATTTCATTAGCAGGGCTCTATGTGGATGTGATACATCACCCAGGGTTCTGTTTCTCAATACATTAACCTTTATTGCATTCTGCATGTTGTCTAAGATAGAGATTTCTTACGTAAAGCAGTGATTTGGAGGGACTTGAAGAGTAAACTTCCCACTCTTTGGCCCCTCCTGTTCCCCATCACACCAAGCATCCTAATGACTAAGGCCTCATCAGCTCCCACAGTAAAACGAGTCTTGCTTTTTTTTCTTTTTGAGAGCTTTAATTGATATTCAGCAGTGGGTAATTGGTCTGTCAAGTATGGTTAACACAGTTTCTGTGAAAAACTGCTTCTGTTTCCCATATTTCCCTCCTTCCTTTGTATTTTTGAGAAAAAAAAAACATAAATTCTATCAGATATGAAAATAGATTGATTTAAGTGAAAACCCATGTCGGCATGTTCAAAGTCCTCAAAAAGAGAGAGCCATTTTTAAGTTTTAGTTTGATAAACATTTATTTGAGTTGTTTTGTTTCATACAATATAAATAATTTTAGTGTAAAATATGATTTCCTGTGGGATTATGAAGTGTTATGTCATATTGATGAGGGAAAGTAATTCTCACTGGTAAAATTTTTATCATCACGTTCATATTTTTTAGCACCTTTTGTATGAGGAATGATAATGGCATAATACCCTTCTTTTTTTAAATCTGAGATAAAGAATATATATGATGGCATTATTTATCAGGAAAATGTCACTTTTAACTCAATCTTATTTTAATTTTTTTTTTTACAGAATTAGGAAGGAGAGAAAAGGTGGTGCATGGTGTCCCAAGGAGATGATTGATAAATTCTCTTATGAGTATCTACAGATAGATCTGGATAAGCTGATGGTCATCACCAAAGTGGAAACACAAGGCCGATTTGGAAATGGTTTGGTAAGTTTCACCACAGGAGAAAGAGTTCTTTTAGTGAGTTTGATGTATTTTATCATTAAAGTGTGAAGGATGGGTATATTTTGGGAACTTTTGAACATTCTTTCATTAATCTTCTCTCCTGCCACATGCCTGCTGTAATATACAATCCGTCTTTTATTGAAAAAGAAAATAAGGTGCAAATTTGAAATATTTGTTTTGAAAGCAAGTTCAAATAAAATTCAGACTTCCGAAAAAACTTTGGCTGGGTAGGCCTGGTAATGGAAATTATTTATATATAGGTTATTTTCATGACTGACACCTGTCAATTCTGTCTTAGCACCAGACAAAAATCGAATACCCTTAATTTCATTACACAAGGTTCTCATCTGTCTTTGGGACTGAAAACCCAATAATGTCTGCATTCAAGAAGAAAAACCAAGAATCTTTGGTAGTGAAAGCCAAGTTTCCAGGAGTTAATTAAATCTTGAAGCTTTTTTCATCACTATCGATTTTTTGTTTAATGATGGAGATTTTTGTGGAGCTTCTATTCTGTCTATGTTAGATCAAAAGAACTTTATTAAATGGGAGAACTGATTGGTACTAAAAGCAACTGGGAATACTTCTAATTCAGTTGATACCTCTGGTCATAAAGCAGTAACTGGGTGAAATCGATAGTGAAAGTTCTTCCATTTTCAATAAAAAATATCAAGTTTTAAATGCTCTTAATGATCTGATACAATATAAAAAAGGCATTAATAGAGAAGTGCATAGTCATAAATCAGTACTTTTAAAAATGTCATCAGACTTTAGAACCAGTTCTGATGTCATGGAAGAGGTTTAAAAGGATGAAACTTGGCAATAAAAAAAAATCTCACCCAAAATATCTCAAACTTTTTTTTGCATTTTGATCAGTCTTGCCCAAATTGTTTTACTGAGCATTGAATAAATACAAAAACAGTTGAAATCGAGACTCGATAAATAAGAATGTGACATAGTGTTGAGAGAATCTTCCCTGACAGGTAGAAGGGATAAGTAGTTAATGTATTGTCGGTAATTGGTGACATAAGGGAGTGTGTCACTCTGGGTAGGTGTCTAGTGTTACACAGGGTAAACTTAGCAGGGATTTATTGCAGGCAAGATTACAGGACAAATCCCCCATATAAACCTTGCAAATACCACTCCACTTTTCCCAGCTCATTCAGAAAGGCAATTCTTCCCTCATTCAGGTTTTCGGTAAAGTTATAAATTTTCTTCTCTCCAAATAAGTAGCTTTTTATTTCCTGTTTGAAAACCTGAAATTTACATTTCTGTTCTGGCTTATTTATTCTTCCAAGCCTTTTTTTAATTCTTTAGCTTGAAATGCATATAGGTAGAGGAAGATACAAGGCAATTGTTTTCATGGCTGCAGGGCAATATGGCTGGACGATCCCATGTTCCATAATCATCACTGATTGCAGCCTGTGTCAGAAATTCCCTCCCTATCATTTCTCCCTTATCTGCTTTCTCTGTTTCCCTTCCCCCAAAAGATTAGTTTTAATTGCTGCTGTTGTTTTTCTTTGATAAGGCTTTAATGGAGCTCCCCCTCTGCCCTCGACCACTGGTCAGGTATCATAGAGATATCACAGGGGAGGCAACCCTGGATGTCACTGATATCATCCATGCATGATAGCAGTCACCTGCCCTTTGGAATTTTAAAGAAATATTTCATATTTGGTACAGAATTCTATGAATTTAACGTGGAATTATTGCTACATATTAAAAAAAGAAATAACAAGTTTGAACACATTATTGCTGGTCAATACCATGGATATGAGGGAATTCGATCTGATGGATATTCATGTATCACATCAATGAACATCTTCTACTACAGTTGATAATCAGGCTTACAAGGATTTCTCTGATTAATTCCACATTCATTGTGCTGAAAACTACCTCATTTTCATCCTACATGATATAAAATCCATACACAAGTCGTCTTTATTAAAAAAAAAAAATACTGTCTCTTTTAAGATGCAGCAAGAATGAAATGGCTGGAACATGCTTTATTGCATGGCTTTAATGCTACAGTGGTTGCATCCTATAAAATCTCTCAAAGAATTCATTAGACTAGATTTTCAGCCTGGATCTATAGTGTGTAGACATGATTCTGTGTGATCTCTGAAATGTAGCATGCAGAATCCATGGTTTTTTGTATGGCTCCCATCAGAAAACTGAAGGAATCTGCGGTCCTACATGACTACCAGATCAGCAGAGAGCTGTGAAAGAAATCACAGAGCCCTGAGTGATAGATTCATTATTTTTCAATATTTTTTTTTCCAAAGTTCATCCGTCGGTCATAAACAACCCACAATGGTTTCATAAAGAGGCAGATATGTTTTATTATCAGCAAAAGATTGTATTGATGAAATGTTAGCTTATGAAAATAGTCTTTTTGTCATACTTCAAACACGAGCTATTGTTCATTAGTAAAAGAATGCAGCAGAAATTTATTGTTACATGTACTTCAAGAAATTGAGACACATGAATAATGGCAGCCATAAAATATGCATTTTAATCTGTAAGTTACTGTGGCAAGTTAATGAAACTGGAAATTCTCAGAAAAAGGATGTGCATGTGGATTTTATAGTCCTCTACATAAATTTTGATTCATATGTTTATTTAATGGCAGCTAGTCAGATAACATTCTCTATCCATGAACTTGCAGGCATAAGTTGCTAAAATGTTGATATTTTATAAAGACAGTCTAGACATTATCATCACCCAAATGCCCTGACACTGAAAGGAGAATAATTTTGAAAAAGAGTGACTGTCATAAACCAAGTATCTTAGAACCTCCAATTTCCACTGTCTACTGATAGTATAGCCATCTCATTATAGAAGTTGCAGTTTATTTTGGGGAGTTGACATTTTGATGGGATTAGGCTACCCTGTCATTGGGAACCAGTCAGAGGCTGGGTTTCAGAGGGCTTTGTGTCAGACTAGAATTCAGTTAATTCTATTATATGAAATTTTATTGCCTTCTCTGTCTTGTAATTAGTAAGGTGGCTGCTAGCAAAATTCTGCTTGACTTGTTCCCAATTTTTGTACCCATAAATTTCTTCCTTCCCTGTTATTCAGTCCTGGTATTACAGTTGTGCAAGCAGCCATAACAATTTTTTCTGATTTATAGAAGAACAGCATAGATTGATAAATATACATACTCTACATTGCAGACACAATTCTTTGCTCCCATTGGAAAAGAATGTAATGGCACCATTTTTATTACTCTGTCAACTTTCTCAATGTAACATTTTTAGATCATTCAAATCAAATTAAGAAGGAGAAGCCATAAAAGCATATAACAGAAAGAGAAGTTTATTGCACGAACTCGTCACCCAAAAATTAGTAGTAAAAATGACTATCTTTCAAGTAATTAGTGTAGAAATAGCTGACATGAGAAATGATATTAAGTGTAACAAATTGTATCAACTTATTTTATGTCTTTATTTCTCCAGGGACAAGAATATACAGAAGAGTTCCTCCTGGAATACCAGCGAGAGGATGATGGGGAATGGATCCGCTTCAGAAACAGAAAAGCAGAAGAGGTATGCAACCTTTGTGGTACATCTGAATTACTCAGAATGCAAACAGCCATGTCTTGTATCGGTTTGTGTATGCAGATTAGGGCAAAAAGTCTCTTAAATCTATGGCATAATAAAATTACGCTCCTGAAAATGTAGCCCTGTGCCAGACATTTGGAACTCAAGAAAGGAAAAATGTCCTGTGGGTTTTATGTCAGAAAAAGTGAAACCTGCACTGGGAGTTTTTGGGGTGAGTTGTTGTTTGGGATGATTAACCAAGCTCTTTGTGATGGGGGAATGAAATGAGTTCTTATTGTCTCTGTAGTCTATCAGCAGGATTAAAGTGTGGGCAAAACATATGTTCCCATCAGGTATCCCAAAACATGGCCATAAAATACACAAACAAGAGTAGATAACTGACTGAGGTATCACTGAATTCAGCAAAGAATTAAGATGCAGACATCCCCTTCCCCGCCAAGTTATCCCTTGACATTAAAAAATCACAAACAGTATCTCTGAAAATGAATCTCTTTTGCAGATCCCATTAATTTTGGAGGATTATTTATATTGTGACTTAATCTGGTTCTTTTTGTGGTTCATCTAACAATGCTTGGATCTTATCCCATCAAAAATCAGACCTGTACGATGTAATGATACTTTTGGACTAATTCTTCTCAGAGGAAAAGGAAGTTTTGAAGATGCCATTATCAGGAGTAGATCAGCAATGAAATATTCAAGCAAAAAAGTCTTGCTTATTAGCAGTTGATAAATCAGTATTGCATTTCTGGAATGAATGTTGGAGTTAGATAATTTGAATGTTGAGTTAGATAATTCTGATTCATGGGGGATTCTGTCTCTGTGCTCTCTCAAAATTGATGCCCCCAGGGGTGATCTTTGTAAAAGGGAAACAGGGAAACTGCTGATTGTGAAAAGGTCACGTCGATTTTCACACATCTGCCCCCTTACCCAGTCTGCTTCTGTTTTCCACCATCAATCAAGCAACATGCAGATAGTTCCCCATCTGAGCTCTAGATATTAAAAACTTTTGGTTCACACAACAAAACACTGTTGTTTTTAAACTAATCTAATTTTACTCCTTGTTGACTATAATGGGACATAAAATTTTGTACAGAATGCTTTCAAAGAGATAACAAGAGCATAAATGAGGTCTAATTGACTCCATAATATTCCCGTCACATTGATAAAGATTCTACTTTGCTAATTAATTGCTATTGCAGTTTAAGAGTGCAGTTTATTTTTTGCACTTTGAGATGAACTTCATCAGTATAGGAAGTCTTTGTTCAGTGTTTGTAAAACATATGTAAAATATGTCTGAGAGAAAGCAATTAACCTCATTGTTGTTTTCTTTTCTTCCTACCTTTTTTTTCTTATCGTACTTTCCTGATGAATATTTAGAGCAATGATTAATTTAATGAAAGTGAATAAATTAATGAACAAATACACATAGAAAAACACTGAGAATATTTGTAAAACAACCACTGTATAATTTTGTCTTTTGTCTTTGCAGCACTTTAAAGCCAACTATAATACCCACACAGCAGAGATGAATGAAGTGTCGCCTCCAATCATTGCCAAGCGGGTGCGCTTTATACCCTATAGTCAGACCCAGCGCACTGTCTGTATGAGGGTAGAACTCTACGGCTGTACATGGGATGGTTAGTATGTTTTATGAGAATATTACACTTGTGCACAGAACAAAGAACCCAAATCCCCTGCTTTTGTGAAAATGTAGAAAGAGGCCAACAAAAAATGTCATTAAACTCTGGAACATTTCATGTCTGTAAAATTATCTTAATTACCGGCTTTTACGTATATCTCCAAATTCTATGATTTCATGACTTTTGACCAACGCTGAATTAAAACTACAAAGTATTCTTTGTCTAGAACCAAGGTCAATGAATCTTATGAGAAGATGTTTTCATTCACTACCCAAAGAAATTTGAATTCTCACAAACAAATGTTATTTCAAACTCGCATCAGTGTCAATCATTGAAACTTTATTTTGACAAACAAACATCTGATTCAGATTCCTTCACATGTAAAAGCTCTTCAGAGTCTCATTTTCTGGGAGTTTTTTTTTTTTCTGATTCTGAGATGTTATCAGGTCCAAGTTTAATTAATACAGAGCCAATGGTTGTATCCGTCATCGCGGTCAAGATTTTTTTTTTTGTTTTCTACTTTTTTTTTTTTTTTATCTACCTAATGTTTTCTGGCTCCCTATTCAGCATTGGAATGAATTGTGCAAGTGAGTGGAATGTTTAGTTGTAAGACAAATTGCCCACAGTAGGATCACAGTGTTCAACCTCCTTCTCCCTGAGTTAATTGGTTTTTTCTTTCACTTAATTGTAGAGAAATATTCTAAACTTTTTTCCTCTCGGTAGTAGTATTGCTTTGAAATGGTAAGGGAAAAAAGGAAGCAAAAATTCCCTCTGTATTTGTTCTGCCAGGGTGTGAGAAAAAATGGAAAAAATGATTAGTACAGTATAACTGGCATTACTGTTATTGATGATGAATTTCATTTCTTTTTACAATGAAATTTGAATATACAAGCAAGGAATATACTTATAAAAACCATGTTAGATAATTGTTTCTCATTCTATTTCAATTCACCCATACAAAAACTTGAATACCGGTATATCCTTAGTCCAACACTTGAAATTATACTGGCTGTTTGCACTTTTATAAAACAATCATTAGAATTAAGAAATAAAAGGTCCACATCGGTGTAACATATAAGGAGTAAATTAGTTGGACCTATTGTATATATACATTCATTGTGCTCTGGGTTTTTTATGATGGATTGCATTGCTTGATCTATATCGGTGTACTACACAATAAAGAAATTATAGTTAAATATAACTCAAGATTAAAATCAGTACTGTAGCTTTAATATGAAATGCAATTGGTTAATGGTCATTTAAAATATTTGAACAAGATTAGCTTGATTATAAGTTTACATTTTGACTGCTGATGTTAACCCATGTGTTTTGTTATGCAGTGTGTATAAATTGCTGTGTTCCATTGTTTGGAGTCATGTTTATTTTAATTAAGATGTGATTTCTTTGCAGGAACTGGTATTTTTTCAGTAGTTTTTCACCCATTCCCTCTCTAATCACTGTCACACTGAGAACTTTCAGTTGTTATTCTATCCTGAAATTAGCTGATAAAGAATGATGAAAGAAAAAAAATAAATGATGGATTGGCATCAACTGATGATTTAAGTAATTTGGAATTCAGGGCTTATCAGTAGAAATGGTTATGTATAATTGGCCAGAATTTCTACTTTGTTGTTGTTATGTCAGTACCTAGGGCGATGGATTCTGCCCATCAGTTTCTGTCTGACACAAATGCAGGATGTCGAAAAAATTCTGAAATAATTCATGATGTACTTTACGATTTTGTTCCCCTTTTTTTTGCAATCTTTTTTGTCAGATGTCAACAATCTCTCCTCTTGTTTGTTGATTTAAGTCTTTTGTAATCTTTTTACTCTACATTTATTGCAAACTTCTCTGATAACTTTTTGGCAGAATTTCTTCATCTGATAAGAGGTTCTAAGTTATGTAAATTTGAATCTTAGATTTTCTTTTTTTAGACATAAATTTGAATTTATGATCAAACAGTGTTATTTTTATGGAAAATAGCGTATAAAATAAGAAACTTTAAAAAAAAAAAATCTTTGCCCGAGTTTTCTGTGAGAAAGCAATGCTATGTCAAGAGAGATAACTCAAAAAAGTTCTTTGTTAATTCATCGAGATGGACAAGAGAGTTGCTCAAAAAAGATGATAATTTTATTGTTTATTTTTCTTTAAGATGGTGTTTTGTCCTACTCTATGCCACAAGGACACAGACGGGGAAAACACAGTTCAGATGAGTTGGCTTTCCTGGACTTTACTTATGATGGAATCATCAAGGACCAGCACTTGTATAATGGTATTGGTCAGCTGATGGATGGAGAAGAGGGGCAGGCCAACTTTCGCAATGATATACAGGCCCGAGGGATCAAGGGTTATGAATGGGTGGGATGGAAGACAGAAAAATTTGAGGATAGCACACCCATTGAAATTGTCTTCAAATTTGATGCTGTAAGAAACTTCACCCGACTTAACATACACTGTAATAACTTTTATGATAAGGATGTGCGAATCTTCAGAATGGCACATGTATACTTCAGTGTGTCAGGAATCTACTATCAACCTAACTACATTGAGTTCAAGTTTGAAAGGGATTCCTGGATGGAGTATGCCCGCACTGTTCCCATACCACTGGAGAACAGGGTGGGAAAGTATGTGAAAGTGCAGCTGTTCTTTGACAGCAAATGGATGCTCATCAGTGAAGTTTCTTTCATATCAGGTAATATTCCAAACATTGTTAAAAAAAAATTCAGTAAAAGTTACACATTTTATTGTAACTTAAGTTGTAAAAATGACATACATCAGGTAATGATTCTTTTTTTTTTTTTCTTTTTTTTTTTATCAGAAATTACAAAGGCTAATGTTACCATGGAGTTACCACCTGTAACCCATCCAATGAAGACCACCAGAATTCCTCCCAGTCACAATGATATACCTGTAGACAATGGTATCAATGTTCAGATAGGCAAAGGTAATGAATCTTACTGTTATGAGATTGGAATTAAATTAAATTGCTTTGAAAATCAAAAATCTCAAGTCAGTGTAGTTTTCTTGCCATTTTGAAAAAAGAAGGGGTGAGGAGGGAGGGGGTAAGGAAAACTTCATACCTCAACAATATGATCGGTCCCTTTCTTTGACAATATATGGCAATCTTATTCTGCAGATATTTTAATGATAATTAGTATTTCATATGACTGAGAAAGAGGTTGAAAAGAATATACTTTATACCAGCAGGGTCAAAACATGTGGAGGATAGATCTGTCCAGACCAAGGAAGCCACGACGGAGAACGACATGATCGGCATCATCGTGGGCACGCTGTCTGCTCTCATTGTCACTCTGCTGGTCGTAGCAGTAATTGTTATTATCCTGATTCGCCACAAGAGAAGTAAACAGAACAACAACCGCCACTGTCTTAAACCTGTGGAACGGCACATCGCACTGAATATGAACAGCATCCGAAACATGCAGAATGGCAAGGTCTCCAATGGCAACATGTACAACAGTGTTGCTCAAGATGAATTGGAATCTGATCGGGAAATCTGTAATGGAGGAGAGAAACTATGTAAGAGTCCATCGTATTGTGAGCCTCAGGACTCTTTGGTCGGGGGGCGGGACCTACCAGATTTGCCCGGGTGTGCGGCAGGGAGTTCTGGTATCTTTACAGTGGCATGCCTTTCTGTAGCCTTTATATTCCTCTAGTCATAACCTCTTGGGAATTGGGTCTTTGCTTGATCTCTTGAATGATATATATTTTGTACCTTTATATTGATTTGTATTCTCTACTACAAATCCTCTTTGTTTTCTTATAAGGATTGATATGTAAACTAATAATACTTGTAGGATCCTAACATATGTATATATAGAGAGAGGAATTTAAACCCAATGTATTGTGAAAAACCTACTTCTAGATAGGTGTGTTTTAATTGAGTGATGTGGCTTAGGAAGGGAAGGGGACTTATGGAATAGAAAATAATGAAATTGTCTTTTTTAATTTATATTGATAAGTATTTTATAATATTGAATCAAGCCATTGTACAAAAGCATGTTCATTGTTAGCAGTAGTACATCTAGATTTATCGGGCTACAGTAATGTGAATATGGCATTTGCTTCAAAACATAGTCATAGCTCTTTCCATTTCTGCTGGCTGCCATTGTAAAATCAAGACCTTCATTGTATAAAATCATCTTTCAGTTCTTTCATATGAAAATAGTTTATAATACATTTTGATAAATCTCAAAAAAATCATTTTTGGGAGGTTTGAATTGGAGATACATTAGATAAGCTTATTTATTGTACCATTATACAGATTCCAGAGACTATGCTGTTCCAGATGTGACAAAGTCTGCCTTGATTGTGGCCCTACCCCCACACACTCAGACTCCAATACGAGTGTCCCCTGCCAACAATGGAACCCCTATCATGATGACAAACTCCCTTTCAGAGAAGCCTCCTACCTACGATGCTCTGTACGCTGCTGCTGACATAGTTCATGTAAATGTACCCAACATTCCCAATCTACAGGGAGTAAGTGGGAACAATGTATACGCAGTACCTAATGCAGAACTTCTGCTTACCTTAGAACATGCTGTTGTCCAATTCCCACGGGAAAATCTGCAGTTTGTGGATGTTCTTGGAGAGGGACAATTTGGTGAGGTAAGAAATTTCAAACATAATTTCAGTTTGTCATTAACCCTTACTTGTTCATCAAAAGAAAACAACTATACAGTCATCCACTTTTTTTTCATCCACATAAAATTTCATTTGTTTTTTTTTTCCATCCTTAGGTACATTTGTGTGAGGCAGTGAATGTTGATGGTTATATAAGTGATGAGTACTTTATGAACAGAGCCAGTACACATACACCCAATGTCTTAGTGGCAGTCAAAATGTTACGACGGAATGCTGATGATAGAGCAAGGTAAGCAAATGATAGCCTAAAACACACTTGTTAGATCTCTTGCAGTTTTAGGATAAAAGCACAATATCAACATTTTTTTTTATAAGCTTGTAGTATAGCATGTAATCTGTACATGAGGAATTTATTTATAATTTCTGTGTATCAGTGAAATGTCATCCACAAGTTCTCAGTCTTGTATCATAATTTATGCTTTGATGGCCCTCAGTATTTATTGTAGTCGAAATTTTTTCAGAGCGGACTTTCACAAGGAGATTAAGATAATGTCCCAGCTGAAGGATCCAAACATAGTCCGAGTTCTCGGGGTGTGTACTAGGGAGGAACCTCTTTGTATGATTGTAGAGTACATGAAATATGGAGACCTCAATCAATTCCTGTTGGACCATGTCCCAGAAAGTCCGGTAGCTCAGGCCACTAATGCCAAAACACTCAGGTACATATGTATTTAAGGAATTAAAAAGTTTGATGACTTAACTCTTTTCATGATTTTGCTCATGATGTAGAAACTTTAGGTAAAAAAAAAAAGATGTTGGAAAGAGTAACGTATCATATAGAAATTAGAAACTTAATATACCGTGGTAATTTAGTAATATTAATTTCAAACAAAAACTTTTCTTATATACTTTTTCTGAAGCATGCACTTTTAATATAATGAATGTTAACATATTTTCTCTAATTTCAGTTATGGCTGTTTAGTCTACATGGCATCTCAAATAGCATCAGGAATGAAATACCTGGAGTCGTTAAATATGGTTCACCGAGATCTTGCCACCAGGAATTGTCTGGTTGGAACGAATTACACAATAAAGATTTCTGATTTTGGAATGAGTCGTAGTCTTTACAGTGCAGATTACTACAGAATAGAGGGAAGAGCGGTACTACCAATCCGATGGATGGCTTGGGAAAGCATCTTATTGGTAAAGATCAATGCTGGTTTTCTGATGTTTGAGGATACACAAGAATGTAGATTTTATTTGCAATTTGCCATGTTGTTTAATTTTACCTCTTGAAAAAAACAGTATTAAAATACTGTAAAACCATTCTGAGAATATGAATTTATCATGTCTTTTTTTTTTTTTTTTTTTTTTTTTCAAATCTAGTTTTAAGATAATGTCTGTATCTAGCTTAGAGATCAAATATAGCATTCATTTCATTTTTTTTTCCAGGGAAAATTCACCACGAAATCTGATGTATGGTCATTTGCTGTGACACTGTGGGAGATTCTGACATTTGCCAAGGACCAACCGTTTGACTCTTTGACTGACGAACAAGTGATAGAAAATGCTGGACATTATTACCGCAACGACAATAAGGAGGTGTATCTTTCATTCCCTCCCAACTGTCCAAAGGAAATATTTGACTTAATGGTGGAGTGTTGGAACAGAAATGAGGCATGTCGACCTACATTCCGTGAAGTCCACATGTTTCTTCAACGAAAGAACATGGGATACAATCCAAAGGATGAAAAAATGAACCAAATCAAGGTCCCCATTTGCTGACTATATAGCAATTATAGACAGTTACAATGATTTGTTCTCTTGGTTCTGGAGAGTCCCCGTTATGTTCAGTGGATCCTCATTGTACTGTGTGCTTAACAGTTCTAAGTGCTAAACTTGTGATGTGTAGGACACAGAAGGATAAAGGTCCTTTTATGTTGAATGCTAGTCATGTTTTATTCATTTTAATGATGGAAGAAAAAAATGATGCTGGTGAAATTTATTCCATGTCTTTGTGATGGTGTTAGGAGAGTGATTAATACACACCAGTTCCATGTAATTGTGATCAGTCATGGAAGGACAAATTTACAGGAATGAATGCTTGATTCTCACACATATTTCTGGATCCTCTCCTTTCACAAAGAACATTTTCAAACACTTATATCAGACAACAGGTGCTACCACAATGTTGTGACATATGTTGCCATAGAAATTGTGATGATTTAAACTCACAGAACTTGATAAACATTCTCTGAATGAAATCCTTTTAGTTTATTAACATACATATATTTTGTGATTGTTTTTCACAATCTTAATGATTTCAACAATCTAGATTATGTGCAATGAATCTTCAATGATTTTTGAAATTGTCACCATCATACAAATTATTTGTGATTTCATTTTTTTTTACCCATTAATTATATCTTATTCTTTATCAGTATATATTCCATGCTGAATACATATTTTTTTTTAATTTTCACTTTCTTATTCAGTGAGTTAGTGTTGTAAATAGAACACTAATGCCATCATATGACCTCTAGACACACACCACCCAGTGTTGAGTATTGTAACATTTACTGATGTCTCCCAAGTATATGTATCTTCCATAGAAACTTGATATTATATAACAGTGTACTCCACTTTATTAGTAGATGCACTGCATCAAATTGCAAAAAAAACTTTCAAACATGTTTTGTTTTCTCTGGGGATTTATTGATATATGTTTATTTTCTGAAATTGGCAATTCAAAATAGATAGTACAAACCTACATCACTAGGTATAAGATTGCATCCAGTACAAACCTACATCACTAGGTATAAGATTGCATCCAATACCAGGACAAAGCCTCCTCTAGGGGCACCTGTTAACTTTTCATGCCCTCCAGTCTTGTTTCTAAAAAGTTTCTTCTTTAAATTACCTATGAATATTAAGATATTTTATTATGAACTTGTGATGATAATCTTGTTAAAGTCTCTCTTTCTACAAAATATTTTGTATCTCATATTGTAAATATTCTTCATTATAAAATCCATCTTTATCTTGCCATCAAATTTATCAGTTACAATGTTGAATTCAGACAGCTTTTTCCAAGCACCTGGTTACAGCTTTAATCACTGAATTTTCAGATTTATAATCAATGTTACAAAATCTTAAGTTAATTTTGCATTCATACATATGAATATGATATAAATGGAGTGATAAAATGTTGAATTTCATAGAGTTTAAGAATTACAGCTGTGTTGATTGGCTAGTTATCCCCCCTTTTAATCAGTATTTTACAGTTTTTACCAGAAAATAGTTTACTAAATTTGCTACGCAAAAAGCATTATTCATCTTTGTAATATTGTTAAAATTAGATGTATATTTCACATTTTTATTAATTTCAGACAATCGTCTTAAATAGCTTAATAATTTTGCTTATGATATGGCAAAAGCCATATGTAGTTTCATCTCATCAATTTTTTTCTTCAACATTTTATTCTTCAATATTATTTAGAACTTTCAGTGACAAGACTTTATTATCAACATATCCTAAATGTTGAACGAAATATCTTGCAGAGATTCGATCTTGGTTGTGAATTAAATTGCCCCTTTCTTAGTGATGTTGTCGTCATTAGAAACTAAAGTAAACCTTTGTGGGGCTTTATTTTTATATGGCTACAGGTGTTGTCCGTGTGTCCCTTGTATCAGCATGATTTGGCAAGGAGTGCCACACCATGCCTCCTCAGTGTGCTATAGCCATTTGTTGGTTTTCATCTCGGCCATCTTGATTTTAGAGCTTAGAATTTTTTTCTGTTTTAAAAAAATTAACCCGTTTGTAGTTGATGAATGAGTAAAAATTGTCATTTTGATGATTTCTTAAAAGCATTACTTTTCCCAAGTACTTTTGAAGCAGTTTATTTTTAGGAATTTTTCTCATCACTTTTCAGTCATTCATGTTTTCACAACTTATAGCAGATGGTGCTGTATTTTTTAATTTATGTAATGCTTCATCAGTACTTTTGTTTTTGTTATTTATATTTTATCTTTTACTAATGTATACTTTGTGTTAATATAAGCTGTCAGTACTTTGTTTAGCATTATGCAGACAGGACACCAGTTTAAAGCAGTGACCAGTTTAATTTTTAATGACTGCCCTAATTTGGTCGCTATTGCATTTCATTTTTGTCATTCCATTCGGAGCTGTCGTCATTGTTATTAAATCTTTTATGTGCGATGTAAAAGAATGCATTTGTTAAAGGAGTAGTTTGTATTGTATGTAAATAAAACTACAAAAAACAAGACACTTTTTTTTCTTATTCAGACCATGGATTAATTGTGTACCCAAATTATTGCCGTTTTTACTCAGCTTCTTGAGCACTTGTCATTTTATGAACTGTTGGTGTTTTTTCCTTGTAGGAAAGTTCATGTTAATTTATTGACTTTATCAGAAGTGGTTTTGTTTCATGTTGCTGGTTTGTGTAAATGACACATTAATAGTACCGTCAAACACCGTTCTCTCGAACTTGACCGGACAAAGATAAAACTGAGATATCTAATGATTCGTGATAATCAAAGTAAAAACATAAAGGAAAGTGGCTGGGACTACCAACTCACTTCGACATATCTCTGGTATTCGAGGTGTTCGAGATAACAAAGTTCAGCTGTATTTCCTCTAGTGTTGTGAAGTACTTGTATGTAGCCATTTACAGCTGGTCATACTTGCAATGAAAAGGAAAAGTGGACATGTCAAGCACTTTAATTCATGAATAGTAACAAAAAGTTACCAAACAAAATAGAACGAAGCTTCTCTCGCTACCTTACTCAGTCATGACCACAATATAACTGAATATTTTATAAATGGTTATTTTTGAGACAGAATAGACATGCATTTCTTACTAATACGTAATACTTGTGAGACTTTTAGCACTCTTGTTCATACATATTTAACCAAACTGACAAATATTGCACCATTTTACATGCAAACTGCCTTGCTGTAGAAATGCATCAAACATATGCAAATGAGAATGGAAACGCTAGCAAATATCTGCTTAGTAATCCATTCGCTAAGTATTCAGAAAATATACATCCAGTTCTGCCTTGCTTTGACATTTTTTTTCGCTCCATTGAGCATGCATAGGCCGAATTGAATAGACACATTCGCCAAAGACAACCGCAACCCCACACTTGGCAACAACTGATCCACCTTCTACAGTCAGAGTAAGATACTGTAACATTCCTAGACTTGTTTTAGACGCTCAGTTGCGTCCATGGGAAGACGTTGTCAAACTGTCATTGGAGTCCGGGGGGGGGGGGGGGTCTTAAATGATCTTGAACTTTTTATGATTTTAATATTCTTAAGTGACTGTGGCATATTGATTATTTTATCACGCAAGGTTAGGTTGGTGGGAAAACAGGAAACTTTACATGCTAAAATTTATAAAAATCTATGCATGGAAAATACAGAAAAGTCACAGTTTGATAGTAAGAATGAAATATGCTGAAGAAAAAGTCGGAAGTGCGAAAGTCTATGAGCGTTATCGGGGTATTCACATTACGCATTACTGAACATGCTTATACTATTTTAAGATGTCAGTCTGTAAATAAACGTGTTTCAAAAAAGTTAAAGTCAGTAATTAGTTTTTAGGATTATTTCTTTTTAAAAGAAAACAAATTTGTGATTTAGTGACAGTAAAACGCACGGAAATGCTGGGGCCATGCAAACGTCGGTGATGAAACTGGTAAACGTGAATTACACTCAATATGAAAATGAAATATCTTGAGCATATATTCAAAAGGATTTACACTGAGAAAAAATATTTTGGGCCTTCTTTGTTAAAATTTCTAATCATATATCTGGTACTTTCTCACACTAATAAAATCCCGAGAGGTAGTCAACAGTTCATGTGGAGCATCGAAAGGATAAAGTAGAGCTAAATCCTTATAAAAGTATGTTTTTATCGTTAGAGTACCAATATAATTTAATCAACAAAGTAAACATTGAAATATAAATCATTATACCGAATATTCGAATGCTAAATTTCCATTCGAATATTTGTTCATTCGCGAATATTCGAACATTCGTTTCAGCTCTAGTAAATTTACTATTTAAATTCAAGAAATGGCAAGTTTTACGTAATTATCAAACAAACAAAGAAGCTTTAAAACTTTTTGAAAAAAAAATATGCATACAAAAGACACTTGGGGAAATTGGAAATGAAATTTTTAGTTAGAAAAATGTTGGATTACTTATTCTCTATACGCAATATTTGTATAGCTTACCTTTTATTCCCTTTACACAAAAAATAATGTGCCACCGTTGAGAGGTTTCTGAGCGATTCTTAACTGGCCAGGTCCCTCTACGATGTTTCAACGGTCGCCATTCATCGTCTTGATTCAAGAGTGGTCTCACACAGGTTGCGACAGTCTTCGTGGTTTCCTCAAAGTATTGACTACTCCAAAAAGATCCCTCAAAGATTTCAAGGAACGCGCCATCTTCGCTAGCCGAGGGTGACGATCTGCTCGTCTCTTTTCACCCTTGGGTAAAAAAAAGAGGAGACGAGCGGATGGTCACCTTTGGCTAGCGAAGATGAAAGTGCACAGAAAGATCGCCCAACAATCTTATATATTCCACTGATCTCTCAGAGGTTTGTCAAAGATCGCAAAATGTTTTGAATTAGGGTCTTTGAGCGGTTCCTTTCGGTCTAACAATGATCTCTCTTGGTCGCACTTGATCTCTCAGCAATTTTGCAGATCTCTCAATGATCTCTATTGGTCGCAAAGAAATCGCTTAGCAAACTCTCAGAGGCCTCTACAGAAAGCAACGTATATGTAACTAAAAGTGTCTTAGGGTTCTCTCAATGTGCTTCCTGTGACCTCTACAGATTACCAGGAAATGTGGTACAATATCTTCCTTTTTTCATCGCACAACAAACGCTTTATTGTCCTCCAGTAACATTTGAAAACAACCGACTTTTCGGGGCTTTCAGAGATTGCAAAGAGATGGAACAAGTTGTACATTGCCCAAAGGTCTCTCAACAATCTCCATGTGTATAAAGGGGCGCCCACCGGAGGATATAAAGAGTAAAATTCATATGAGGAATTCCCCTCAGTGACTTTTCAATAGATATTCTGCAAAATTTCAGTTATACTGTAAGATTTTACCCCATAAAAATGTAGTGTTTGGAGATTAGGTCTTCCAACAATCTGTTGGAATTTCGATGGACACTTATTGTGCTCCATTATTAGCTATTAGCTAACCTTTTTTTAAATTGAATTTTTTATTAAGCAGAATTTATTAAAAAAAAAAAAACAACTACGTGAGAAGAAAATTGCCACCCCTTAGTTCCTTAGGGAACAAATAACTGAGGCTTTCATAAATAGACGACATTTTATCAATAAACACTAGTTATTTCATTCATATATCAACTCGATATATCCCAATGAACTCGAATTAAGGAAAAGACATTTCAGATTCTTACACTCCTGTTTCATAATTCATGCTGTTTTATTGAATATAGACGTTAATGGCCCACTAACAAATAAGCTATAGTAAACGGTGACTTAGCTTGTCCGTCATCTGCATATAGTGTTTATGTCGTCCAACTGATTCAGTACGCAAAAGTCTGTTCTGGGTACAAAATATCAAACAGAGACTTGCTATTGCCAAATAACTTGATGTTTCAGGGCTTCGGACAAGCTCGTTCAAAATTAGATTTTTTTCAAAATAAATGGTTGCTTTTACCCTTCCTTGCATTGCAAATACAACCAAACGTTAGGTTGTATTTTGACTGTCACGTTTTCTGCATAGTCTTAGGGAAAATAAATGGTTACTATAACTCTTCTTTGTACATACAACCTAACAATGTTTTCTACCAATTCTTTGGCAATTTTTCTAAACCAATTTTGACTAGGGATTTCTCCATCTACCTGATCAATATAGAGGGCTAACGGCGGATGTGACCGGTCGACAGGGGATGCTTACACCTCCGGTTTTCCAGGGTCCATGTTTTTCCTTGTTCACGATTTGTATTCTTCACAGGGTTTGTGAGATTGACCACTGTTCGTAATTTTCACCTTTCTCATTAAGTTTGCTTAGATATGTAGAAGCGCCAGCATGCCAACAAGTGCCAACTTCTGCATGTTTGAACAATAAAGGAAGTACTAGCCCTAGTAAATAACAATTAAATGACATCATTACATGTACATCCACATGCAGAAAGTCACATCATAGTTTCTTGAAGATGCCAACAAATAAAAGGACACTTCAGATAAAACTGGATCCTTATTATAAGGCCTCGCACACGCAAGCATTGTGGTACTCTGCATTCTGATCATGTTTCCATAGAACGGAGCTCTACTGTCATAAAAATTCTGAAATTCATAGTAAGCACTTATAATGATATCTCATGACGTCAGTAGGCGTGGCTGACATTGAATTCTAAAGACCTAAGTTAGTCTTGTCCCATGATCCCCTGCACTTCGTTATTATTCGTAATAACGAAGTGCAGGGGATCATTGGAGAAGACTAGACCCAAGTGTACAGCCATTTGATCCCTGGCAGGGTGGGGTAGGGATGGGGGGTAGGGGTTGTGAAAAAAGGTGAAGATAACGTACAATTATCTCAAAAATCTTATAAACAAATTGTGACAAATTCTGTCGAGTCATAATAGTATTTATTTTCATACGACTTTAGGAGACTGAATACTTATTTCCAAGATGTAATTTTTTTTTATTTATTTATCGCCTTCGCGATCATAAATACAGGTACATGTACTTTGAATCAGTTATTTTTCGCGACACCTTATTTTTGCGAGATTGTTATTTGGTATTAATAAGTGAAACAAATTTCAATCATTGCTCTAAATATATAATCTTTAATAATATTAATATACGCGAGAATGAAATTTTCGTGATCAGACAGTCTCGCAAATTAAAAGTGATTAACAGTATATCAAATTCAGTAATATTGTTATATTAATACTTCTTTGAGGATCATATTGTCCAATTGATAGTAATATGTTGATTTTTTTTCTAATGATTATCTCGCAATGAATGTCATGCCCCATTCTGAAATCCATATTTCTAATTTATGGAGGCCGTTTTGGAACATAGTGTGATGATCAGATCCCTTTGTGTATGTATGTAAAAAGCGAATGATCGAATCTTAGATTTGACCCTTTCCGGTCAGTCATTGTTATGTCATAGGAGGAAGCGGGACCTAAGGATCGTCCCCTGGGGCACCCCGAGATCCCTCTAGCCTCACTTAATGTTTCCCTATCCCTAACTACTCGTATTTTCCTATCACAGAGGCAAGTCTAAATTCGTATATGTAATTTTCCTCTAATGTTCAAAACATTTCTGCAAAAAGTCCATTTTCCTTAAAATGTCCTGTCAATCCACTAAAATGCTCAACGCCGAATTCCGAATGCTTCCAGCTTATGTAACAGCTTGCTGAGGGGAACGGTATCGAACGCTTTGAAAAATCCAATAGTAATAATACTAGTACACCATCTGTATGAACGCATCATACCGATTCAAGAAGTCCTCCACTGTAAGGATTTTGTTTATTGCGTTTCACAAGAATCTACCAAACGGAAGCAACTGTTAAGTGAGATGAGCATTTTGAATTTTTCCAAATGAGCCCAAATGACTGTGTCAGCAAACAATATGCTCGAGAAGTTTGGATTTGACGAAAGTCAATGAAACGGTTCTAAAGTTTTCCAGGAGATGTTGATCCCCTTTTTTTTGAATAAGAAAGCTATATTTGCCTCTTTCCAGTCATTGGGGAGTCTATCTAAGACTGGAATATAGTTATTACTGTTGGCGAAAATATTCTGAACATTCATTCAGATTCTAGTTTGATTAAGCGTCCGGACCTGATGATTTGTTTTTGTTCAGATTCTGGAGCAGTTTTACTACTTTATCCTCCTAGATGCAAATCTTTAATTCCCTGGTCAATCCAAGTTGATAACTGGGTAAACAAATAAAATTATCACGGTTAAAACATAGCTGAACGTGTTGCAATTAAAAAAGGTAATCTAAAAAAATACAAACAATACAAATCTGTGAACAGGGTATAAAACACGTAATACAGGAAATTCCAGAGAGGGGATCAGGTGTCTAGGAGGAATAAGCATCTCCTGTCGATGGGTCATGCCTGCCTTGAGCCCTATGTATCGATCAGGTAGACGGAATATTCCGAAGTCTTTAGTATAAAAGCAAAGGCCTATCAAATATTTCAGCCAAAATACGACACAATGATAGGGTATATTTGCTAACAAGGTCATTGTAACGACCATAGAATTTCATTGTATGTCTCCCAACTTATTCGATACTCAACTGCATGCTCTGAGTACGATCAACTCTGAAAGCGAGTCAGGCTACTGACAGATAAGTTGGTGTTACAGGGATTTCAACAACCTCGTGCAAAGTCAGCATTTCGTAAATTCTATGATCGTTATAATGACCTTGTAAACAAATAATGACCTAGCTATCACTAGGTCGTATTTTGGCTAAAGTTCTTCATACTAAGTTTTTTTTTAGGCGTTTGTTACTAAATTTGACTATGAAATGCCCAGTCTACTTGATCAGTACATAGGGCTCATGGCGGGTGGGACTGGTCAAGAGGGGATGCTTACTTCTGATCCCACTTCTGGAAATCCCGGGGGCGTGTTTTGTGTCCTGTTCGTGGATTTGTATTGTTTGTGGATTTTGAGATCGATCACTTTCGTTGTCTTCACTTTTTTCGTTTTTGATATTCAATATATAGGTACTGTAAGGGTTTATAAGTGAAAAGTTTGGAAGCAACAGTTTGGGAATATCTGTTGGAAAATGCAGGCTACGGACTTCCTCTTGAAATATAATGGAATGCAAATCTGAACTTTTTTTATGATTAAGAATGTTACTAATGTTCACAGCATCTATCATCTTATTGGAAAATTTAAGTTTAAGAAGCCGATGGTTTGGATCAAAATTAAAATCTTCCGATACCCGTGGCGGCTGAAAAAGCCTGTGCCGGACAACATCCAAAATCACAAACACTAGCTTGTTTTCTGCAGTTGGGGAATCCAAGAATTGACATTCAAAAATTTCAAGGGAACCGACCTAATCGTTTATTGCCGTAAGGTAAAAGTGAATCAAAAGAGGCATTATGTATATTTGGTCTATGGTATGATCGATATTCATTTGTACACTTACGTCTAGATGTATTGTGAAAAAGTCTCATCATATTCACACTGGCACATTGTGGGCTTAAACGATTCCCTGCATTATTTCTACAGCCATACGGAAATGCTGTGCCTAAATTTCTTGATCCAGTATTCTCTAGGAATGGAGTACTTAAAGTGGGACTATAAGCTGATGATAACAGGATTTCTGCTCTCGAATTACCAACAATAGTCTCTCAGTAAACTCTCCTTTGCTTTTAAGAGAAGAAATGCCCACATTGTCCTTTAAATAATTTTGAATAGTTCCAAAATGGTGTCGGGTTTTTATGAGAAAGGCGAAGAAACATCAAAGTTGTCGATATGAAATTCTTTTAAAAATACAAATGGCAAACATGACATAAAACACGGACCCCTAGAAACACCAGAAGTGGGACCAGGATCATGGGAGTGTTTATCAGGTACATGTATAAGGAGTAATTTGTTGTCAACAGCAATAAGAAAACAATATCCTAACAACTGGTGTGAAACATGAAAGTCAAAACACGAGATAGGTTGCATTTGCAAAACAGGCCATTATAACTACTATAGAATTTGTGAAATGCTGACTTTAAAGCCCTGTAACATCAATTTATTTGTCAGTAGCCTGTCTCGGCTTGAACATTGATCTTACTCTTGCGTACCAAATCAGCTGGGTAACACGATTTGCAGGTGATAGTTGAATTTTACTACATAAATAAATAAAGTCGACGATGGAAAAGCATTTTGAAAGTCGTACTGTTTGTCATATACCAGCAGTTTAGTATTGGGTTGGCCATTCACTTTTACAGTCAATAAAACATCCAAATATCAAACAGATGTGGTAGACTCTGTGGTGTCTTTTATTTCAAGTTCACAACGACATATCGAGAAGACAGAAGAATGAAAATAAATTTGTTAACTGATATATCTAAAATTAGAATTGAAGGCTACTACAGGCATTTTTTCTTCTCATGTAAAAGTTTTTAAAGGATTTTATTTATATAATCCCATTGTGCTCGTCGTTGCCAATCGAACTCGTGGGCTAATAGCTGATGAAATTGAATCTGATTATACACAGCCATTCATATATTGTAAGTATCGCCAGAAGCAATCATTTTTTTATGATTTCCTAAGCTGGAGTACAAGGGATGTCCGAAGTCGAGGGGATAATCTCCAGGATCTAGTTTTATGATATAATAGAAAACCAACACTATTGTGATCCTCAATAATAATATCTGATAATCTTTTGTTCTTTTTGTCTGTCAATGAATTTCTGTAAGGTTGCGCTCCTTCCTCATTGAAAAGACTCTTAATTGAAAAAAAAAATTACTTATATTGTTACAGCGATTTATGGTGTCACTGCTGAATTTTCAATGATGGATTACAACATAAGGCATTTGTCAAATGACGAGAGGGATTTCGAATTTGCAAGTAGAATGCTGGTAAAATCTGCTCATGGATTTTATGAAACGTTGTTCTCTAGTAACAGGTAAATATATACATGTATTGTGTAAGCAAAAGTAATACACAAAGAAAATATTAGGAAAAAGGTGGCAATCAAGAACGTTCCGACCGATTAACCGGTTAATCATGTCACAATACACATTATCTTGACATATAGTTCAAGAAAGCTCTACTAATATATACACGAACACTTATAAAGACATTTGTAATAAGCTGTTTATGTTTGATCAGAACAATATTCATATTTTCAATTTCAATAGGCAAGAAAAATTAATAAAACCAAGAGATATCAGAGACATTAATAATTTTCGAACCAGTTGTCACACAGTACCATTCTGTATAGTTACCATACTCAGAACTAAGTCTGAACTTTTACTTAATATGCAATGTTTGTTTCATAATATAATTTGATAGATAACTGCAATAGATAGAGGGTAAGATACACATTATAATCATTGCATGTGTGTGAGAGGGTGTAAGGGAGGGTGTGTGTGAGTGTGTGTATGTGAGGGTTTGTGTGTTAAAGCTTCTGTAAAATATTATTTTCCTTCTTGATAGTTTAAATACCATCCTTGACTTTCACACTAGTGTGTACAAATGTCAGAAAGACAACTTTCAAAAGAATGTGTTCGTACTAACTGTGGGAAATGAAAGCGCTGGTTTCGCAGAACTTGGTTTTGAAGATGCCGTAAGTACCTAATTATGTTTTTCATTTGGATAAGAAAGACGACGATATGAATGTCAGCTTTATTATTGTATAATAAAAGAATTAATTAATCATATGGGGTCAAGATTCAGTTTTAGGCCTGGTCATTATTTCCCTTTATCGTATTAATTATTTTGTTGTAATAATTAACAAAACACATTGAACATACAATTGAATGCAGCTGCAAAGAAAAGATAAAAGTGTGTTTCGTTACTTTTTGTGTATAAAGTGTAAAAGATGAACTGTTCTGTTCATCAATATTGAATATTTTCATGATTTTAGGGATCTGAAAGATTTTGTCAGGACATTTGGAGTAAAAGATGTGTGCAAATAGTATATTTGTTTTTTTTTTTAATTTTCTTCTGTAAGTTGATATAGCCAGACATGATTTGAGCGATTTTTGTGATATTGATTATTTAATCTTATTAACATTTATTTGCTCTTTTATTCTTTCATTAAAGGTTTCTGCTGCTTAAAAGACTATATTTCTTTTCAATTCCTCGTTATGAAGCATATCTACGTTGTACAGCCATAGAAGAAAAGTTCAAAGGTCAAGGTTATGGCACAGCTCTGCTTAAAAAAGTTGAGGAGGAAGCTTTATCAAGGCAATGTAATGTAAGTCGAGAATGGACCTGGAATTATTCAATGAAGATTATATTTAGATTAATAGTTAAGGGTTGTATGGATAATTTCGAAGCAGATATTCCCACTGTTCAAAACTAAATAAATCGTAATTTTTCCTCATTAAAAATGTGTATCAATTAATGTGCTTAACGTTATACAACTCAGAAAACTTTTTTTACTTAACGTGCTTTTGTGAACAAATTATATATACATTTTGGAAAGAAATACATTGCTATTAAATAAAGGTGCAAAAAAGAAGAAGATATGATTACTTTTGCAATTTTATAATAGTTTTTACATATATGATTAATATTTTACTTTCTACTATTTGACTGCTCCAAGTTTTGCAAGATTAACGTCCTCAATGTAATAACGTATGCTAATAAGTTAATTTTTACATATTTTTTTTTTTTAGAATTCAGTACCATGCCCGCTAAAGTGTTTCCTTTTCCAATTATCTTCTATATTCGACCCAAAATGTTTACAACTTGGTTTAAATCGGTAGTACTTCCCAAATACAAAAATGTAGAAACTGCATTGAGGTTAAAAAAAGCATCTTTGTTTAGAGATACTGAAAGTTGTAAAGTATTTTCCAAAAATCTATTTGTATTTATTGTATTAGCAGATTTGATTTTGTGTTTGTAATAGCACATTTGCTACAAATCAAAAAATACAAAAGAGTTTTTAATAGCGTAATTCCGTTGCTACACTTCCATGGCCGGAAAACAGTTCTGATTTAAATCCAACTAAAAACATAAAGAAGACCCTTTCTCAAATAATGCCAACAACTAAATACATACAGTGAAACTTGTCTAATGTTGTGCAATCTGAAATCTTGTCTAATACGGTGTAAACTTTAAGGTCCCTTGCAGTAAATTCAATTGTTTTACATATTGTCTAATGAGGAATGTTACCTTATCCGGCCAATTTCTTTGGGACAAGTGGTGTCCAGATTAGACAAGTTTTACTGTATAGATCTATGGGAGGAACTCCAGCTGGAATGCTGCTCAATTCAGAAAAATGTTCTGAAAACTTAATTCTATTATCCCAATTTAGCTGTTATTCCTGCAAATAAGAGGAGCAACTAAGTACTACAACGTAAAGTATCAATCATTGATATTAAAAATACCATAAAATTGTAAATTGCATCATATCTTTATTTAGTAGAGTACATGTCTTTCCAAAATGTGCATTTCATTTGTTCACAAAAGCGTGTTACGTGAAAACGTTTTTTAGCTGTACGAAGGGTGACCAAAAAGTTCGCGAACTAGTTAAAAAATTTCCATACAAGAATTTAAATTGGGGTTTATTCTTTTTTGTGACATGTGGCATGCTCCGTAAAGTACTGTTTACAGCAGTCCAAATGTTTTCCAAGGTCTCATATTTCTTTCCACAGAGGTTATTTTTTATAGCAAGACCATATATCAAATATCACAAATTGCAAAATCTTGACAATAGGATGGGTGGATAAGGATTTAGAATGGTGTCCTTCATAGCCCTACTCTTCTGTCTTAGGTGCGTTGTGAATCCAATGTAGATCAAGAAAGGACGCTTTCTCTTCATCATACATGTATCTGATCTGTTAACAGTCTAAAGTAAGTGAAATTTTAGGGTATTAAGAATTGTTTTGTCAGTTGGGTCTTCAGTATTTCTGTAACTATGACTTTGCGATCTTTCATTACAAATTACTCAGCCAAGGACACATCTCTTTCCGTCCTCACTTTCACTGGGCGAACCTCATTTTCACCTTCTTCCACTAAAAAATCCATCCAATTACATGTACTAACTAAACTTTTGGCACGTCTTTTGTCCCTATCAACCTTGTGGGAATCATTATATATTACTGTAAAGGATTTTCTAAAATTTATGTTAAACTTTACAGCAGTTCTTTCCTGCAGTACGACTGAATCAACCATTTTTGGCACAAGTCCTAAACATGAACAAGATATCATATAACACATGCTATTTATATCATTTATGACAACATGTATGCCAAATTTCATTCTGATCTGGACTGTGGTTATATAGATAAAGAGATAGTTCGTGAACTTTTTGATCCGCCCTCGTACTGATCACATCCTTTTGCTACAGTAATGTTTGATGTATTGGTTAGAATACTATATATGGTGTTATGTTGATAAAAAAATGTCTTTTATTGTATTGAACCTTGTCTGTGACTAAGAGTCCAGTAAAGCGAATTGAATATCGAGAAAAAATTAAATTCATCGTCTTGTTACAAAGCTGTTATATTTCCACAATACTTTGCATTCAGAAAATTTTTCTACTGACGTTTTCGTCAAATACTCGAGCGATAAGGTTTTATGAGCGACACGGATACAAAGCTGTTGGAAAGCCCCGAGCAGGTTACGGTTTGATACCCATCCTAGCAGACAAACCGGTAAGTTCTATTCGAACAGATATGTCTGTCAACTTCGCCTTTAATCATAACTGTAAAACAATTAAAAAAAAGAAAAGAAAACGTTTAAAAATGCAGGTACAGTAAATTTTAAAATTCAATACTAAGGCTCATAAGAGGTTACACTGTAGAGCTGAGTATGATAACCTTTCTCCCCTACTCCTCCCTTAATTTCTCCAACTGTCTTCCTTTATTTTCCCTCTCATTTCCTTTTTATCCAATCTCTCCCTCTCTTGTTACCCTCTCTCATCCATTCACCCCTCCTTCGTACCCTACCTCCAACTTATGCTAGTTGAGAAATCCACATAAATTCATATCAGGAATGGTTTTATGATTTATTTACTTATATATGCTAATATTAGAGAGGGTGTGTACTCGTGTTATCTGATTTAAGATGACAATCCCTACATTTTTTTTCAGGCTGTAGTTCGATATGAAAAGCAGTTGTCATTGCGGTGACAACATTTTACCAACCCGTTGTCAGAGGTACAAATGCACATGATTTCCTGGTTCCACAATGCATACTTTACAAGTGAAGACACTCTAGCGGGAATGGCACCCAATTTCAGATGTAAATATTAATTTCAATAAATAAAAATCCATGTATGAGTTTTGATTTATGTTATAAAAGTGTACATGACGTACATGTAGTCTGAAATTTTTTGACAGTGACATAAAATGCATAAAGAAAAGGAAGTGTATACACATCAGGAACATAATGCTGTAAAGAGCTAGGTACGTTAGCTAATGTCAACAGGCCCTGCAAAATGCTTAAAAAATAAAGTTTGCGTATCCTCACTGACAATGTATATTTATAAAGTTTATGATCCTAAGTCCTTGTATATGTAAATGTTTGGGCGGATCCAAGCCTCTTATGCTGCTATGTAATATCCAAACCTATGCCGTTTCCGGAAAACAAGCAATTTTCTTCACTTTTCACCCGGTTTTTGGGAAAATTCGATGTGGCCACACGCATCGGCCACGTAGATATTTTAACCAGAAATACTATTACATAAAAGGGATTGATTTATACAGGTTTCGTTCTGGCCGTGGGCTGTGGCCACATTGAATTTTTACAAATTCTGATATTATCAGTCGTCTGCTATACGGATCTTGACGTGAGGGGAATGGAATATTAGCTTGGTAATTTGATTATATTCGTAGAAAATAAATAACAATTGAATACATGTTTATTTTATAGAAATCTAAATGATAAAATGCATTACTTTAATAACTCATTTGTAAAAATTTCGTATCCGCGACCACCTTTTTAACTTTCGTTTTCATTCCAGGCAACATTTCGGGAACAAGCAAAACTCAGGCAAATGTACACATAAAACGTCTAAATTTCTGAAGGTCTGTTGTAAAAAGGTTTATCTGAGATGTTTTGGGGTTGTTAAGTTTATAAAAAGGCATCTTATGTTTATTTTAAGGCAAAACCCTAACATCTCCAGGTTGTACATCGAACTCTAAATATAGACGTCCTCGTTGTTTACATTGACAACGTACAGTGACGCGCCAAAAGTTTTTCTCATTTTTCAGTCTTTCGTTCGAATATTTTACTGTAAACAATACGTTGTTTTATCAAACATTTTGATAAAAAATAATTGAGAATTTCTCATAGTAAGAGAAAACTGTATTCAGATGATTCATTGTAGATATAAAAAAAATCTCAAATTAACGACTTTTTATTATCCGTAAAAATGCTGGAAAGTTTACATGTTTCAATGCACAGATGAATTATTTTAATATTATAGCACTTACACCCTTTCTCCAAAAGCTTAATTAGTACATACTTATACTTATATTTAACGTATGATAATCTTTCAATGAATTAAATTTATATACCATCACATAGAAACGAAAAAAGAAACCATACACAATTTAATGTTTTTATGTCTTCTCAAAAATAATTGAAATGATAATTGAGAACAGTAGAGACATAAGTATATGTTATTTATGTCCCTGAAAACAGAGAAACAATGCGGTTAAATTCAGGGGGGGGGGGAAAGAAGAATGGGGAAATTACATATAACTATTAAGTTTTCCTTCAGAGAAGTTAAGATGAGAATATTAATAAAATAATATTCGACTAACATGATTCTCATTATAATAAAAACTTATGAATGGGACAGCAGCTTCATATAATTTTGTGAAATTCTAAGATACTGAAAATATTTTTTAAAATTTATTTTATATATCTATAATTTTTTTCTAAGTCATTTATTTTACACCCTCCCTTTTGTGACAGGAAAAACTCTCCAAAATATTTGCAAATTCATTGATTCTTACTAAATCAAATGATATTAATAATTAAAATATCTTCCTATGAGATACATATGTATACAATTTGATACTATACAATTATTGCATGACGTGAGGAAAATATGTAGATTTATTCAGCAAAGAAAAATTATACGAATTTTTTTGGTTGAATAAATCTTCATTTTTCCGTAATATTCATGCAATAGATTCTTATTATACCGAAACAAGCAAGGCCTTTAAAAATAAACACAAACTTTCAAAAAGTTACTGGAACACTTAACCGAAGTCCCTTGGACACTTCGTATTTAGATTTCTTTCTTTCTTTCTTTTTTTTTTTTTTTTTTTTTTTTTTTAATTGAAGAAGACCGCCAATTTTGTCATTGCATTCAATGCCTTTATTTTAAATTTTGTGATGTCTGCTGTTGTCGGGAGTTTCGTCAACGAACGATTTATAAGTATCGCGAGAAAATGCACTTGGTTTTCCTAGGAGGTTAAATATGATGAAAAGCATGACGACGACAGGGAAATATGAAGTCTTATGGCCCCGTTACGTGACAATTTAGAACCAATCAGATAACGCGTTGTATAGAATAATTATAATGAGGTATAAAAATAAGATGTATGTGTAGGGGGAGAATCCCACTTAGGCTTTTTACAAGCTTATATATCATACTTAAAATCTCGAAAATCGGAAAGTTGAACTACTTGGCCAGGTGTCTCAAGGTAACCCCCCCCCCCCGACCCTTGCCTCTGAAATCCCCCTTCACCAACTCAGGTGACATACGTACCAGGTAGATACTAGTATTGTATTTTGGATATAGAACATTTTAGCGTTACAATATAAAGACTCAGGAGAATTATTTTCAGATCTTAATTGCAGCCCGGAGGACCGGGCTGCTCTATACATATAAGTTTAAGTGTTGGTATATGGGGATTGAGGTGGGAGAAGTTATTCAGAATTAAAGGTTTTCTAAACATTAAAAAGATCGTTAATCAGAATGTTCTTTCCCTTTATAAATTACGAGATACACAATACATTTACTTCCATAAAGTGAATCTGTAAAAATATATATGTTTTTCATATTTAATATATAAAGTTGCTTATCATTTACTATCGAAAAAACGACAGGTCCCTTTTTTTAGAACATCGAATTTTACTTATCGCATAAAAACGTAAAAAAGTAATTTACACAGTTCGTGTTTTATATTCTTTAAGTGAAAGACATTTTTGAAAATAGGTGATGCATGTGTCTGGTTTCAAATTATATTTTATGCAGCCAACATTTACTTGAGGAATTGATAAAGTTCAAAAGGGTGTCGTTTTTGTTCGATTTTCATCCGACTATAAGTTTTCAAAATATTCTCGACTATCGTCTCCATCATTTAGACGCATGCCTTTTTCACACATATCGAAGCGGTTTGATGATCAAGACTCATTTCCATTGTTTACTTTATTTATTTCCCGGGCGACAATTGATGGTTACATCAATGTTTTCTTGTTTCTTGTTGTTGTTTGTCCCCAGACGATCAACAGTCAGGTTCTAAAGCTGAAACCACGAGAGGAATGAATTCAACATGACGCTGGTTGATGCGTTATTAAAAGTCATGTCTGTTTCACCTTATGCTTACAGTCATTTTGAAAAACCCCGCGTTTCGAGACACTGGTAACCTTATCGCTGTACTTTGTATCCAACTTAAGACAACCCAACGTAATAACTTTTTTTGTAAAAAAATAAATCGACATCTTTATGGTCGCAGATAAGTGCGTATTGCCCAGGGTTGAAATATTACAACCTTTTTATGAAGGGTTGAAAAAATATACCTATCTATTATAAACCAAGTCAAAGCTTAATAAAGATTAAATATGTCATGTAGGAGATGAGTCGACCATCTTAATTTTCTGATATTTTTAATATCGATTATTGGAGGGATGATGGATATGTTCAGAAAACAAACAACGTCCAATCATAAAGTTATGTGTTGATATGGTAAAAACGGCGTCAGAGACATAATTAATGATTGTTAAAATTACTGGGAATAATCAAAATATTCTTTAACTCATTTGACAAAGCAATTCATCATATATTTCACAAAGTTTTAGAAGAAAAGTATTGTCTGAATTCCCCATTAGACAGATTAAATTAAATTTTATTACTACCATTATTAGAATTTACATCAGCTGTTTTGTATGACTTTGCAAGTCTCCTGTTGGTAAATTAGGAAAATGATTTTAATTTATTCTTTGTTAGTTGACACCTTTGTCTGTGGTCCAAATTCAAAGATCAATTTGCAAGGTCATCGTAAACTTAAAGAAAATGCTGGTGGAAATGATGGAAGCATGTCACCTAAAGCCCGACTCTGACTCAAAGATATGTAATTTAGATCCAGTCTATACTATATGTATGAATTTTGACAAATAAAAAAAGTTAACTTTGACGTATAGTTCACAAGGAACCTTAGGGTCAACTTTGATTTTTTTTTTTATTATTTGATATACCAGTAGCTTACTTTCAACCCCCCCCCTTCCTCCCTTTCTCAGCGCAGTATAGCGACCTAAAATATGTTTTTACTTTAAACAAAACCTTGAAGTGACTCAGAATTTCAGGATTCTGAAGTCAATGAATTTTACTAGATATTTCTTAAGTTGCAGGCACGTAGTATCGGTTTTGAAATGCGGAGGCGGGGGGGGGGGGGGATCAAACTTGAAAATCCCATTTCGTGGGAGGAAGGTCCAACTTCTCAACTTCTTCCACATCAATTTTTTTCATACATCACCACATAACCCTGCAAGAAAAAGTGGGGGAAGGGAGCTACTAGCCCTTCAATGGACATTTTCGATAGAAAATGTAATGTTCGAAAAAAAGGGGGACAGCCCCCCCCCCCCCAATACTTCGAGCCTGAGTTATTATTACATCCTGGTGATATAATTCCTTATTATTTTGCTTCCCATTGATCTCTTTTGCATGAATAATTTAATAATTTTTAAAAATTGTATTGATTTATCTCAAAAAGGGCGATTTTCGGTAATATAAAATTATAATTTGAACCTTAGTGCAAATAGGTCAAAATTAATGCTAAAGTTAGTTATATTTCCTCGTTAACTGTTCTTGTTTGTTAATAAAAGCTTCATTTCTTTTTGCATTCTCTATCTTTTTTTTAAACATTCCCGAAAAAATAAATTTATTTGTGGAGAAAAACAGACTACACATTATGCAAACAATTTTGACTGCAGTTATGATATTCAGGTATATCGATACTATGGAGGTCATTTATTCTTTAAAACATTCTTTTTGTGTAATATTTTTTTTAAAGTAAATAAACTATGCAATGTAAACATTTTATTGTAAGATTTTTTTACGTATAACATACATTGATACATTATATTAAGTTGTTATTTAAATGTACTAAATTGACAACAATAATGACGTCATAGTGCTCAAAGCGTTTAAATGCAATAAAATACATTCCATTTTTAGAGGGCTATTACAACTAAACTATGAAAGGTAGATAAAAATTATTGATACATTTATAAAATTTACATCCTCAACTCATTTCTTTATAATTATTTTAAATTTTCAAAGAAGGGCCGATTTTCACTACTAACGTACCTGGCTCTTTATGTTAACATTTAGGGTGTAAAATTAGTATAGTAATATAAATTTGGGCAAGACCATCTTTAAAAAAATGTTTGCTTGCCCTATCCCTACTTAGGATAACAAAAATGGTAGGTAGGTAGTTGGAAATTTGTTTTATCAAATACTTGCAAATATGAAGTTAATATAGTATTAAATATTATGAGAAAATTTCTAAATGAGTAAAAATAAAACTGTTTCCTGACGGTTTAAAAAGATTTGAGTCGGGCTGTTTTCAGTCAGTCGGTCGGGAGAAAGCAAACAGTTTTTTTTAAAAGACGGGCCAGGATAGATTGTCCCTTTTTTTTTTTACCCCAACTTTGGGGGTTCTCTTAAAACATTCATTACAAAACCCTTTTGTCATCCCTGTTTCAAAATGTGTGTTCTCAGTTAACTGGATTATTACGAGAAAGTTGTTTGTGAAACAGAAATTGCTTTAATTTGTGAAACTGTACTTTGCTGAGTAATAAAGGTCAAAGTTTGCAATTTACATTGACTTTCAATAAATAATTTTACAATAGGACAGAATATATATATATATATATATATATATATATATATATATATATATATATATATATATATATATATATATATATATATATATATATATATATATATATGAAATACGTATTATCTACTGACACTCAGTATTTCTACTACTAGAAGCCAATTATTCACAGAGTATGACTGTCATTGTTATTGATTATACATTCATTCTACATAAGAAATACAAGTATACTTATCAGTAATCATTGGTACGGATTATACATTCATTCTACATAAGAAATACAAGTATACTTATCAGAAATCATTGTTACGGATTATACATTCACTCTACATAAGAAATACAAGTATACTTATCAATATTTTTTACTACTAAATGTTAGCATTTTATCCAAATGAATGCATCCCTTAAACTAAGAGCACTCAGGAAACTCGGATGCATTTTAATATATTTTTTAAAACAACTTTCGGTGTAAGCATCATGCAACAACCCTATTCTTTTACTCCTAACTTGTCAACATTTACATTTTGATACATACATAAGGAAAAAAAACAAGAAAATCCTCATCTTCTGTTAAATCTACCTCATAGCCTTATTGTCTGTAATTTCCCATGGTAGACGTTTTTATTACAATTTAAATCTGTTCAGACCTTTTAGAACACTGAAAAGCATATTCTCCTTCAAATTCTTTTTTGCGTTTACATTTTAATCAAACAGGATGTATATTTCCTTTTTGAGTACTGAGTAGTGTACATTTTACAAGTTTATTCTACACAGTATTTCAAAATTGTGCTGCAATTATTCTTGTGAATTTTGAATTTTCTATGGCATAAAGGTGGTGGAAATGCGTTCTGAAAACAAAAAAATATACATTTTCTAATCAGAAAAATTGCGTAGACATATTAAGTTCAAAAGTTAATCCAGCGAAGTCATAGTATTGATTCAGTTAATAAAATACACGCAGTCTTAGTATGGCGGGCACGTGTTCTATAGCGAACTTGATCACTGTTGAAGGAGATGTCTGATCTTTTGAAAAGTTTTGTTTAAAAATTGTGTAATTCTTTTGACGCAATCTGCGTCCCATACAAGGTCAACTTTACATAGAATAGATCTGCTCTGTGTGTAAAATGGCATCAACAGAAAACTACGTTCATTAGCTTGATTTTGAACGACAAGTGATCTAAGTTTACAAGTAAGTAAAAAGTATTGCTATCTAAATTGTAATCATGTGTTCATTTTACTAATAGACAAGCGTTTTAAATAAAACTTGAGATAAAATGCATTAATCTTAGAGACGCTGTTTTGGTATTCATCTTTAAAAATATTTACCTACAATTATCATGAAAGAAAAATCAGCAGCATGTTTTTATAAATCAAATTTTACTAATTAAAGGCCCCGAGAATTGGCTGGGGATAATTTTCAGAAATACTATCCTGTAGAAAACCATCAATATAAAATCACCTATTTTACGGTTGCACGCCTTCAAAAATATTGTACGATGACATATTTTCATTTGATTGTCAAGGAATTTCTGTTCAGTTGCCAGCTTAAAAACTTAAATTAACGTATGTCTTACGTGTCTGAACTTATAGTTTGACTGTTGCAGCGATTTATCGTGTCACTCCCGTTCTCAATAATGGATTACAATATAAGACACCTGTCAAATGACGAGGGGGATTCCAAATATGCAAGTAGAATGATGATAAAAGCTGCTTATGGATATCATGAAGCGTTATTTTCTAGTAGCAGGTAAGTTTCAATCGGGTAAACCGATGTCATTTCGAAAGGCAATAAACAACATATAGATAGTTAGATTCTTTATTTCCAAATCATGGCCCTTTCAGGCATCACAATCAATTTGCATGATTTCTACAAACAGCACAGACAAATTATATGTATACAAAATAGTCTACAGTACATGTCTTTGTATGTACTAGTAGTACAATTTGACACTGTATATGTAAGTAATATTGATAAATGAAATAGTACTTCCGTGTACCCTATTGCAAAGTGGGGAGATTCTACAATCCTCGCATTGCAAAAGATATCACGTGGGGATGCAAAAGTACTAACTATTACAATACATGAAGTGTCAATTTTTTTGTATGTGTTTTTTAAAAATTACATACACATATTTACATGTACTTAATATTTAAAGAAATGTTGTAATGTGACTTTATATGCATAATATTTTAAATGACATGTCTAGCCAGTTCACATACTGCAGAAAGCACTTCAATATTTTCACAGTTTAGAACCCTCAATAACTTACTTTCATTATTTAAATGAGCAAAACTGATACAGTGTGTTTGTATAATATTCATCATATTCTCTCTTTCTGTGACTTACTGACTGTGACAAAATACTTTTTATAATATCAAAGTGAAGTGGCAGTCTACCAAGCTCAGATAATGAGGTGAAGTTTGCATTTTTTCTGTGCATATCCTAGTATATTCTTACAAAATTTTAAGTGTAGATTCTCACACTTTAACTTATTAAAAATGTCATACGCCGAGAGTTTGCAGGTTTCAAGGAAAATACTAGGTCGATTGATGTTCCAACATACTTCACATCTCCCTCATGCATAGCTCTGATCCTTCGAGGTATTTGGCTCCATTATTTGGCATTTTTTCCAGCTCTTTCAAATCTTTTTTATTTAAATATTTTGGATTTCCAACGTTTCGGCTTGAGCATCACTGAAGAGACATAATTTGTCGAAATGCGCATCTGGTGCATCAAAATTGGTACCGTATATGATTTACATAGATAAAGCAAAATGGGTTTTATTGTATGATCAAATACATGAAGGGATGTTTTAACACTTGGCCTCAAAAAAAAAAAAAAATCTTTTTGTAAATATATACAGCTCAAAACATTTTAACCTAACATAGTTTTGTGAACTATTAAGTAATTAAATGTACAGAATATACAGTATATATATATATATATATATATATATATATATATATATATATATATATATATATATATATATATATATATATATATATTAGGGATGGCAATTTTTGTAACCGGTTAACCGATTACTCGGTCGGAACAATGGGAATCGGTTAGAAAATCTGTAATCGGTTAGTCGGAAAAAATAAAAAAATATGTAAGTTTTAACCTAATTTTGTTAGAATTCATGTTGAAAAAAAAGAGATATTTGCATAAACGTTGATAATTCAGCGTTTTCACATATCCAAGCTGACTTGGCTGGCTGTAATTATGGTTCACTGGATTGAGAGTGTTGGGTAATTGGTCATTTTGTGTTTGAAGTGTTAATTACTGTTAAAACACAATGTCGTTACCCTGACCGTCCTTGTATTTCTTTAATGATAATTATTAAATCACCGTTGAGAACTGCGAATTAGTATGTTTGTTTTTTGCAGTTATCTATCGAATAAATATACTATACAAACTTTGTAAATTAAGTGATGTATTTCAGATTTAGTTTTAATTATGGTGACAATGTTGAATGAATCTATGTGAAATCTGCTTTGGAAAAATATCAATGATTTTTCAGTCATGATTAGTGTTTTCTTAATTTTTTCCAGTCTACATTAAAATTAAAATAAAATATAGAAGCATGTAGGTTTTTTTTAAAATCAAGAATCAAGACAAATAAAATGATTTAACATCTAGACTCTATCAGTCTTCTTGTATATATGAAAAGAGCTACTTAGGAAAAAAGTATGTACATCAAGAAAATGCGTATTTTGATACGGTTAACCGGTTAATCGGTCGGAACGTCTCGCGGTTAACCGATTAGCAATTCTGTATTCGATTGCCATCCCTAATATATATATATATATATATATATATATATATATATATATATATATATATATATATATATATATATATATATATATATATATATATATATATTTATATATAACAAAGGTGCCAACAAAAGATATGATGAATTTTGCAATGTTATGAAAGTTAATATATTCATATATAATTGAACATTCTTTCTGTAGTAACTATTTGCTCTCCCTTTTGCTTGAAAAACAGCCTAAATGTAATTGGGCATGTTTTGAGCTAAGCTTTCGCAGCCTTTTTGGAAATAGCACAGTACCCTACAGCAAAAATAATAACTAATTTTTTTATCATAGTTTAAAGACTATCCTTGACTTCTAAACTGGCGTATACAAATGTCAGTCAAACAACTTTCGAAAGAACACGTTTGTGCTAACTGTGGGAAATGAAAAGGTTGGATTTGCAGAAGTTGATTTTGAAGACAGCGTGAAATAGATGCCGTAAGTAATTAAATATCTTTATTGGACAAGAAAGACAACGATATGAATGTCAGTCCTTTTACCCTATAATAAAAGGCTTAATTTATCATATGAGTCAAGGTTCGATTGCAGTTAAATGAATTTTTTGTATTTCTGCCAAAACGTATTGATTTACAAAACAAGAATACAGGGACATCCCCCCACCCCCCATATATATATATATATATATATATATATATATATATATATATATATATATAATGCAAAAAAAAAAAAAAAAAAATCGTATATGTTTACTTCTTCAATCATGTTTAATTTATAATAGATGTATTAATTTGTATTGTTAATAAATTCTATGATTTTTTTTTTATTTAAGTAATGTGAAAGATTTTGTAAAGACATTTGGAATAAAAGATATGTGCAAGTAATGCATATTTTATTAATCTCTTATTCTGGTCAATTATTGACTGGGCATCTTTCTGTCAGGTGATATAGCCAGACATTTGATTTGTAGCGCATTTTGTAATATTTTTAGTTATACATAGTTTATTCATGTAGTTAGGTAACATTGCCATAAACTAACATTTATTCCATGTCTTTTGTTCTTTCACTAAAGGCTTCTGCTGCTTAAAAGAGTATTTTTCTTTTCAATTCCTCGTTCTGAAGCATTTCATTACTTAGCCATAGATGAAAAGTTCAAAGGTCAAGGTTATGGCACAACTCTGCTTAAAAAAGTTGAGGAGGAAGCTTTATCAAGGCAATGTAATGTAAGTTGTGAATGGATCTGGAATTATTCAATGAAGATTATATTTAGGTTAATAGTTAACAAGAATTTGTGTGGATAAACTCGACGTAGATATTCCCATTGAAACTAAATAAATCGTAATTTTCCCTCATTAAATGAAATATATGGAGATAACGAACAGTATTCAAGCTCAAAAGTCCATTAAACAATACAAAATAGGAGCAGAGCAAACACGGACCTCCAAAACATCAGAGGCGGGATCAGGTGCCATGGAGGAGTGAGCATACACTGCCGACCATTCACACCCGCCGTGTGCTCCTTGTCATGATCGGGAAATAACGGAAAAATCCGTCGACAATTCAGTGTGTAAATAATGGCCTAACAATTAGTATGAAAAACGTCAGTCAGCATTTGACTCAATGATATATTGTATTTGCTAACAAGGTCATTGTATCGACCATAGAACTTACGAAATGATGACTTTAAACGAGACTGCTTATATTCTTGTTTCATCAACTTGTTTGTCAATTTACCTCGTTTTAGAAATTGCACATAGGTAGACCATTCTCTTGCGGAACCCCTCTTGCGTATCGAATCAACTGAGAGATGTAAACCCCGTATGCAGTTGATGAAGGTATATTGCTGCATAAGTAAGGGAAGTTGACGATTGAAATGTTAGTCATCACGTTTATCATAAAGCTTGGTTGTTAGATTACCATTAACGTCTTTTTCAAGTAAAATATCCAAATATGAAACAGATGTATCAGACTCTTTGGTATCTTTTATCTCAAGCTCGCCAGGATATATCGTATCGACATAAGAATGGAAATAACCATTGTTAATTGACAATACGTCGTCGATATATCTAAATGTCGAGTTGAATGCCACAGCAAGTGTTTTCTTCTTTTCACGTATAAGATTTTAGACAAATTCTGCTTCATATGAATATAAAAAAAGGTCTGCTAATAACGTGGCGCAATTGGTACCCATGGGAAATGTGTACCAATTACTGAGCTTAACATTATCCATTGACAAATACACAGCTCAAAAAACTTCTTAACCGATAATGCTTTTGAAAATTACAGTAGTAGTATTTCCTAAAATCTATTTGTATTTATTGTACATGTATTAACAAATTTGATTCTGTGATTTGTATTAGCACCTTTGCAACAAATCAAAAAGCACAAAAGAGTTTCTCAGTAGCGTAATGCTGTTGCTACACTTCCATGGCCGGGAAACAGTTCTGATTTAAACCCAACCGAAAACATTTTTGGTCCAATAAAGAAGACCCTTTCTCAAATAATACCAAAGACTAAATAGATATATGGGAGGAACTCCAGCTGAAAATGTTCTGAAAACTTTATTTACAGCATGCCTATTCCCATTATAGCTATATGTATTATTCCTGCAGAAATAGGATCAACTAGAACGTGAAATATTGATCAATTATGAATATAAAAATACCATAAAATTGCAAACTGCATCGTATTTTTATTTTAAATCTATGTTTAGTAGAATACATGTCTTTCCAAAATGCGCTTTTCATTTGTTCACAAAGGCATGTTATGTTAAAGTTTTTTTAGATGTACGAAGGGTGATCAAAGAGAATTTGAATTGGTTTTCAGTGTTTATTTTTTTTCTAAAGTAGGTTTTGAAACACATCTGCTACAGCTCTGCTCATACACGAAATACGTGGTATAGGCAGTCACGTGACATGCTCCGTAACGTATTGTTCATAGCAGATAAAAGATTTTACCGGG